TTGCAGCTCTTTTTAACTCTCCAAAACACATTTTAGACATTTATGTAATGTTTAAAAGCTATGGTACCTAGAGTGTGGTAGTTATATTGAGACATTTCCAAATGTTTCTTTTGTTAAATTATTTAGTTTGTTTATGTTGTCAGATGTTATACATGGGATATAATGTAAATACATTTTACCTTCAAAAACAACTTACTGGTGTTTCCTGCACTCACTGAATCCTATGCATGGTCAGGGGAGGCATATGATTTATTTGAGAATATGTATCCATTTTTATTGTATTTTTGTTCTGTATATATCTTCTTTGATCTTCTTTTGAATTCTTCTATTTTTCTTTTCAACTCTGTTGATACAAAATTTTGTTATATATTCTCCAGATACATTTGGCACCTTTTTTATATCTTTTACATAATTGTATATTTTCCTCCTCTCACAAACTCTTTCTTGTACTCTTGCAGTAGTCCATGCGGTGAGATCAGAGGTCAACGTTCCTGATGATAGTGTCCATCAATTAAGCTCCGTCGAGGTGGAAGATATGATCCATAAAGCAGAGGAGACAACCCTTAGTGAAATCTCTCTAACGGATGACAAGCCTTCCATACAGAGAGCTTCTCCTAGAAAAGAGATCCCTGGTGTGCAGGCACGACCACCTCAGACACCTACAGGCCCAGAACCACCAGTCACTATGATATTCATGGGCTACCAGAATGTTGAGGATGAGAATGAGACCAAAAAGGTCCTGGGCCTTGAAGGGGCCATCACAGCTGAACTAGTGGTCATCAGTGATGGAGACCCTCAACCTGCGGCTGATGGGGACCTGCCAGAGAAGACCCAGCATCCCCCTAACGGGGCCCCTTTAGATCCTCCCGCCAAGAGTGATAAGCAAGCGACCAATGATACAGCACCACCAAAGAGTGGGGAGCAGGATCTTACCATGAAGAAACAGAGGTGCAAATGTTGCAGTGTAATGTAAATTCAATGATAAATGGGGGTTGCTCTTCATCCTCTATCCTTTCCAGAGGGATGATGTTCTATCACAATGTAGCCCGGAAGGGGCTTTCTCCTTGAGATGGTTCTCTCCATAGCCACTGCCTCATTGAAGAGAGTACTCTCTTAAACCCATGAAGAACTCCTGTCTGCCACATATATCCTTATTTCCAAAACATAGGAGTTCCTACTTTAATCCCAAATTACCTGGGAGATAACTGAGCCCTGCCCACTTACCTTAAACAAGATAATATAATCCCGTTATGTCTAAAAAAAAGTGGGCTTCCTTCCCCCAAACTGAAATAACAATATTAAACACGGGAGAGATGACTCCATATAGATTAAAGGTCCCCAGCCAATCTTCTTATACTGGCAGAAATATTCAAACATCCTCTTGTGTGCTTCCCATCTTCCAAAATTTCCATCCCCCTCCATGGAGAATCTGCAGTATTCTCTATAATATTAAAGAAGATACTGCCATTTTATGAAACATAAAGGTCTCAGACACCTTTCAATATCCCTTAATGGCTTATGTCATTCTATCCAGTTTTGTATTGTGTAACTGTAGGTAAATTGAAGGAACTTAGGTATTTTGAACTCTTGACTGCAAGAAAGAAAATGAAATTATAAAATGTCAAAAAATGTTCTTGGAAAATAGAGATCATGTGGTGTCACCAAATGTTGGACTATAAAAGCGGATGGTCTGATGGCTACTGCTGGTGTGTCCGGTTTCACACACCAGTGCATGTGCAGTCTGCATTAACCTATATTAGTTTCCTGTTATGTGTGGGGAGGGATTAACATGGTATTCCGCATGCTGGAAAGTATTGGTCAGTGGGATTTCAATACACACATATTTCAACTGGACTATTGCAGGATGTTGTCTTTAACAAGTGTTTCTCTTAACAAGATGATTTGGAAGGGGGATTTGTAGATGTAGCTTATATTTTCCCCTTTCAATGATGGAAAGGTTTGTGATGCTTTGAAAAGCTTTGCTATGATATGCATGGAGAATTGTTGCAGGTTCTTCTGGAGTTATCTTGATCCCCTATATGTGTGACCCTCATTCGTTTAGTATGTCCCCTGCTCATATGAATTGCCATGGACTTCATTATGGGAGTTCTAGAGGCAGTGGGGCCAGGCTGGACATTCACATTGGTGCCTCTGTCCTGTCCTCTGGACTTCCTGCCGTGCCTGATATTGAACCTCACCCGTACTCCTTGCTCCTGTTGCCCATATTTCATTTCACTGTAAAAATATCTCAGTAAGTCAATAAACTGTGTTATATAATCTCCTAATTACAGCGCATTCTGTGACTGATGACAGAGACACACTGACACACATTTGATTACAGATGGTTACATGCATACCTCTGAACTTTAGGAGGTATGTGTTTGGGGCAAAGGGTGAGTGGTCTACAAGGAGACATGAAGAGAGGGATGTGCACCTTTACAAAGGGTGGTCCTTTCTGAAAAAAGGTCATCTCAACTCAAACTTAAATAACCTCAGTGAAAGAATTGGATTGGTTCCGTCCAAGAACTGCACATCGGAGGTATGCACATGGGTAACAGTACACACAGAAGTATGTTTAAATATTTTGTATTAATAATTTTGGACAAAACTAAAGAGAAAGACATGCAAATATACACAAAGCAGTGGTTTTTGAACCTTGGGCCAGGTCATAAAATGAAGATTCTTGGGTTAATTCAGAGAACTCCCAATGGTTTGCAAAGTAAACACACACATAATTTTGGTTAAGCCAATACTCAAAATAGTTTTCCTTAGTGCCCATTCCCATGTACAAAGGAGGACCATTAAACCCTGAGTAAAGTGTAAAGGAAATAGATTTTATATTAAATTTCAAAATGGGTGTAAAAAAAAGTAATGGTCTGAAAACCAGCCAATGTCCAATGGCATATATGTAATGCTATACTATATACTTTATACTATATACTTAGTATAGTATAGAGAGAGCAAATAATATTTTACTTGGTTTGATGTCAAGGCCAGTGGATTTGTTTAACTATCAAATAGAACGGTACAAGGAGAGCAAACCTTTGCCTTTATTACCTTCCACTTGTTTCTCTGTGTTCTAATTTGGAACCTTTGCATACAACTGTAGTCCCTTTCAATCCTAGAGGTGTAGTAAGACACCAAAAATGATAAATATAGGTCTACCAAATTCACAAAGTCCTGAATTGACAGTTAAATAGAAATACATTGATTTGCAGTCATTGAGTTACATTAGCCAACATCCGTGATAATCTTGGATCCATAAAATTCTCGACTGGTCAACTGTTTCGGCTTTGCCAAGTCTGACCTAATTTGTCTGTATTATCCTGGAAGTTCCAACTGTTCTATTTAGTAATATAACATATGCTACATTGTAGTAAGTAGCTACCAAATTGCAAAACTGGACCAAAAAAAAAAAAAAATTCCAGGCACCACGACCACTTCAGAGATTTAAAGTAGTCATGATGCCTGGAGTCTGTAAAACACTGCACATATGGAATTTAACCACCCCTTTGCTCATGGAGATGTAATTCTATTTCTAGCAGTATCATGGGATGTCATCAATCAGCCAGGCTGGAAAAGAAGTTCCAGGCTGGCTAATGTCAATTCTGGGCAAATTTAGATGAGAGCAGTCAGCCAGTGGAAGAGCGGCAGATGGATATCTGGCGTTATCAGCTCTGCAGAAGCTAGTTGTTGTAAAACCTGCTTCACAGTAGACCAGACACCCAGCAGGACCAAGTAAGAGGATAAACAATTGTAAAACAGTTTACCCCCATTGCCAAGGAACGGTATCAGTGAACTCCTATCATCAAAACCCCTAACGCGAACTGTGGTGGTTGTGATGGTTGAATAATCCTTTAACTTAGTTTAAAATGTATCCAAAACAGCCAAGTCTGATATTTGTTTTGCATCTGAGTTATTTTGGTTAGCTGACAACTCCCAGCAACTCCCTGTTTAGGGAATAAATCTCTTAGTAGCCAAACTAAATTATTATTTTTACTTTTAAAAAACCAACAGGTTTTACAACACTCTACAACAACTGAACAAAACATACAAGCAAATGGCGATGCATCTTGACTGGAATACAAACTTATGTTTTCGCCCTTTGCCACAATTTGAATAATAAAAAATAGATCATTTCATTGTGGTAGTGTCCTTACAAATCTTTTTAGAGCAATGGATTTAGCATAAAGTAGCACAAAAATTTAGATTTAAGGGAATAAAGAACAACAAACGCAATTTTCTCTGTTTGAGTCCTCGATCCAACAGTTTGAATGTCTTTTATCTTGCCTCTCGCTACTCTGGGAAACGTGAACACACCCAATGTGGATTTAATAAGCAATGTCATTTCAAGTGTAACAATATAACTTAATTGCAGAATGTTCTGATGCAGGTATTTATTTTATTATGCATAGCACTGCTATCAGCATTTTTCAGAGGGCTGTAGGTCTTTATGATTTATGTGATAGGATATGCCCAACAAGAGTGCTATAATACATACCTGTGTAGTTTTCTATCATACTTTGAGCCATTTTTAAAAGAAAAAACAAACATTTATTTACAGAATTTTTTTTGTGTGTGTGTGGAAAATAGACAGTAGAACTGTAGATTTTGCATACTTAGCAATAAAGTTATTAACTTTCCTGGCCTATTCTTCAAAATTTGCAGTTTAGTAAATAAATGTCTTTGTGTAGTTCATGCGCCTAACATTCTGCTGTCGGTCGACTTGATTTTAAACAGTTTCAGAAATCAATCCACAAAGTATTGTTTATTGTGTGCATTAATATTGTGTGTTCACGTAGCTTGATGTAATACTAAAACATGCCAATGATAACAGCAAGGATGACTTTAAATTGTCTTGATATACGAATGTTCAGAAAACGTTGTCCCTGAGCATCCTCTGCATGCATGAGAACTCTGGCAAACATACAAACTCCCCTCCCTTTCTCCTGAAGTTTCCGGACTCCCAGGCTTTGCTCACAAGCTAATGTTTGGTTTCATCCTAATAAAAGCGCCTCTGTAATCAGCAACATTCCAGGGTATGCATTCCCTCAGTCAGCATCCCCTGACTATTGTCCAGTGTCACTCCTGGTCACTCCATGCCAACGGCTAGCAAACAGCATAGACACCCTGCCATTTACCACCCGCTGGGGATGGGCAGAGGCAAGAGGAGAATGGATACCAAGCAGAAAGTATGGGGGCAGGTAGGACTTAACCAGTTTTTTTTAATTCTGTATATGAAAATGTACAAATATTTCAGGGGAACGTTGTTAAATGTGGGGAACGGAGTTATTTAACCCCTTCACGACAAAAGGTAAGCAAATCCAAATATATACATAATATATCATTTGTTATAGGTATATCATTGATCATTTAAGGGCTAATGCCAAAACGTTATTGCTGTATGTTTTTTACTTTATACTTGCCATAAATTTGAACAATTAACTATCAGTCTGCGAAACCTTTAGAAGTGTATCTATTACATGTTGAATTTTATAAAACAAAAAAAAAACCTCCATCTTTTTTTTTTTTTTTCAATTTTGGCCATTGTGGCGTAAATTGTTTTCCAGTCATAAAGATCATTTTTTTTAAATGGGAGGGGGAGCAAAAATTCAATGCACCACAAGATTAGGTGTTTGTTATCACCAGGAAATGTATTTTACTCTGTATGAATAGATAAGATAGGAGTGAAGGAGCGTATTGGATAAAATTTATAGTATGGAGCATATAACACTGGGCTGCATATCCCATCATGCCCAGCTCAAATAGTAGTTGTGGTTAAATACAGTTGGTTGTTACCTGTCAGGTTGGTAATGATAACCAAAATACAGTGAAACACAACATAAAAGTTCATACAATTTTCATTCCACAACAATGCAACTTGTCTACGGACTGTTGAAGAATAGTCTTAAAAGGTTATTCACTAAATTGGGAATTGGTGGGAATGCAAAGGGAATTTCAAAATGAAGGCCAAAGTAATCGAACTGGATACTTGGAGAATTATTCCAGTTTAGATATTTTGACCTTAATCTGAAATTTTGCTTCAGGTTAGTGAATAAACTATCTCATAGGTTGTAAGCCCTACGAAAAGAGAAAGAGCTGTGGAATATGTTGGCGCTGATAATAATAATTGCTTAGCAATGAAGGACGTTTACTGCCATGCACTGACCCTAATTGCATTTTTCATGCTGTTTGCCCATTGCTTTTAAACAGACCGATTGTCAGTCTGCTGCTAAGCAGGACTAACTAGCAGACAACCACTGTCAAGATATAAACATATGAATAAATACATAAAACATCGTCCTGCCAGTGTTTAATATCCATGAATGGGCTTGAAACCTTGTTTTCTTGCTAACATATTCTTTTCCCTCCCTAATGTACAGTGTTGCTTGTAACCAGGATCCCTGGCGCTGATAATGAACATATTACAACTTCTTGGCGTTAATAACAGCAAAACCATTCGCCTCATGCACAGTGCCAGGAAGTGTTAAAAATATAGCACGAATATTGTTCAAGGAACCTCAAATCAGGCTTCAAAATATGCTGACCCTAGTAGCATACATCACAACAGTTAAAAGGGTGATGGCTCAGTGAGTAGCTGCCCCATGGCCTTCAGAAAATGTAGGGAGCACTACTGCAGCACTCCATGTATGGTCCTACTATCGGCTGTAGATGAACAACACTAGTGAATAAAAACAGGAAAGCAGACCAGGACCTCAAAATCGTGGCTGTCCTGCCAAAAGCAGGACTTTTGGAAGGCTTGTAACGGTGACCATACTCAAAACCTAAATGCCCTGCCCAGGGCCGATCAACACGCCTGCATAAAAGAAGGCCTTGAGTGCACCCTTTTATTTTACTTTTAGGTTTATTCATTAAAATGTAAAAGTGTAAAACTTTGAAATTTTAGTCTGAAAATATGGCTGACTTGGACATATTCAGTTTGGCTTAACGCTACAGTCTTAAGTTCTAAATACATATATATTTATAATATAAGAGTGTTCAGGATGTCTTTTAGATCACTCCACTTTATGAACTAAAATAATAAAGTTAAACTCGCCTTTCGTGACCTATTTACTAGAGAATAGTATCTATCAAAGAAAACTAATGCTACCAATATATACTGCTCATCTTCGTTACAGTCAACTTGGGAAGTCACTTGCTCCCACTGCACCAAGTTGTATCTGACATTTCTTAATATGTCAATCTGGTTTGTGTATGGTCTCTCATAAATCTAGGTCTTTCAATTTTTCAAACAGTAGCATCAGTCGCTCCACAGCCTTCATAGATTACCTGAACAGATGATCTCATATCAATAAGTGCATCTCTATAGAGAGGGCCTGCTTCACCTGCGTAATCAGAGTCTCCTCAAAGAGAAGCCTTATAATTCTTCTCTAAAAGGAGCCTTAACTGTGTTTGGCATCATCACTGCACCAAAAGAGAAGTTTTGGGGGATTTTTTTGAGTCTTCGCTAGAAAGTGCCTTTAGTAGTTGTCTGATTGACATCCACTAGCGTACACAGCACACTGACTGACAAACGTAAACATTGCTCATCTCACAAGCGGCAACGCTTCCATTTGTCACAGTGCAGGGACTGTATTAAGCTGTGCATTAAGCCGTAATGGTTTTAGTGCTTAGAATGTCTTGTTTGTTTTTCACATTCATTTTGAATTCATTCTGAAATCCCAACAATTCACACTTTATTGAATACACCTGTGAAACGTTTTATTTATGGTGTTTATAAAGTCAAGTAATTTTTTTTCATCCGCAGGTTGTTTATGACAGCATTCAATCTCAAATCCACAACATAAACAAATTAGACTGGCATCTTTGAAAATGTCAGCTATAACTTAGTGAAGTTTAAATAACTAACTTGCTAAGTTGACTGAAAGCAAGATAAGAAATATATATTGGTACCATCAGTTGTTAATAGATGTTTTTTCTTTAGTGAATAGCTCATCTAGAGATTAGACCATTTTCAAAGTTTTATTGGACTATACTACAAATCAAGTGCCTTTTAATCCACATCCAGATAAATTGATCATCTGGGATTTACCTGTGAAATTGTATTCAATTAATAAGATTCCACAGGTAAATCCTAGATGACCAATTTGTCAATTTGTGGATTAAAAGGCATTTCATTAATAGATTTATTGATTTGCTAGAGATAGTTTCCCTCATGTCTGCAAACTTCTTGGTAGAAATATGACTGACAGGACACTAAAATGTATTAAAACTGTGTGAAAATGTGCTAGTAATTTAAAGTGATGTGATCTATCTGTTTATACACAAACAAACCATGGAATAGCCACAGAATGCACACATACCTTTAAATTACTTGCAAATTTTCACACAATTCAATGTTTCGGTTCCTGTTCGGAACTTTCTTCAGGACAAATAAAACACATTTTATTTTTAACTTCATTATGAAGGAATAAATGAATGAATATACTAACCAGACCATATATGCTAATATAAATATATATATATATTTTTTTTTAATGTATGTATTTAAAGACCATTATTTAGCAACCTGGATTTTGGATTTAACTAGAGTGCAAGGTTTTACACACACATATATATTTAGATCTTAAAAGTAAACCATCTTCATAAAAGTCCATTACGGACTTACTGTCTATTATCATGACAAGTAGGGAAGTGCAAGGCTTTATAGCAGGAGAGCCCAAAAGGCAGATCCCCAAATGTTGTAGAACTACAACTCCCATGATGATGTGAATGCCAAAGCAACATGGAAGTTGTAGTTTTAAAACATTAGGGGATCTATCTATTTGACAGCCCTGCTATACAGCATTGTTGCTGAATTTGCACAGTACATACAGCATGGACAGATTTGCAGTGAGCAATGGCGTTGTTAGGTTGCAAAAAGACTATGATCTTCAGCCCAAGGGTAAAGTATGGTCTCTCCCGCATATACTCATTTAAGCCTTTCCTAAAATACCACACACTATACAATTTATTAAATCCAACCTTAAATCCTACCATGTTCTATGAATCACATTATGACACAAAATCTTTGAATTCAGAATATTATATAAACCATACCTTCCGATGTCTCTGTTTAAGAGGTACAGTCGTTATTTTGCACCCAAATACCTCTCTCCCTCTTTTCTATCCAAATGCACCTCTTTTCTAGGATATTCGTATTGTTGTAATTGTTCGTGTGTGAATGTATAGCAGCGCTTTACAATAATAATTCTCACAGTAATGTGTTTTTAAACTACAATAAGTGAGTTTTAAAATCAGTTTGTATAAATAAGATACATTGTTATTGATCTAAATTGCATTTTAGTTGAATACATTGTTGTTAGTAAGCCACCTAAAATTACTCAGAACAGCCCCACCCCTGGCAATACACCACTCACACTCCTAAAATGAAAGTGACCCTCTTTGTCCATTTGAAATTATTGGGAGGTATGTATAAACTTATATTTATAAACCCCACTCTAGACTGAATTAACTCTGCACTTGCATCATCAGGGCCGGACTGGCCCACCGGGATACCTGGAAATTTCCTGGTGGGCCGGCATACTATCAGGCCGTTGCACAGCCACCTAGTGTGCACTGGCCCACAATTACACAGTAACCGGCTGGAGGGGATGTGCTCCCCTCCTGTAGGTCACAGAATGTAGCGTGGCCGAGCAGGCAGGCCGTGGTAAAGGAGCTTCTGTTTCCCTACCCGGTCTGACAGGAAGTGCTCAAAGAGAGCACATGACTGCTTCCTGTCAGACTGGGTAGGGTAGGGAAACAGAAACTCCTCTACCGTGGTCTGCCTGCTGGGACACAGGAGGGCTGGGGAGGGAGCATTAGGGACATATGGATGCTGGGGAAGGGGCTATAATAGGACACGTGGGCAATGGGTTCTATAGAGACACATGGGGGCTATAGAGACACATGGAGGGCTCGGGGGGTTATAGGGACACATGAAGGGCTGGGAAGGGGTGATACAGACACTGGGAATGGTATAGGGACACATGAAGGGCTGGGAGGGGGGCTAGTGGTACACATGGAGGGCTGGGAGAGAGAGCTAGTGGGACACACGGAGGGCTTGGAGAGAGGGCTAATAGAACACATGGGAGGGCCAGGGACGTATTAGCCACAAGGCAAACAAGGTTTTGTCATGCCTAGGGCAGCACAAAACCAGGACACACCAGTGGGGAGGGCTCATGGTTCACATGTGGGGATGCTGCTGAGACACATGGGAGGGCTAATAAGACATACAGGGCTGGGAGGGGGTAAAAGGACACATGAAGGGCTAATAGGACACATGGAGGGCTGGGGGCAATGGGACACATGGGGGGGCTACTGAGACACGTGGGAGGGCTAATGAAACACATACAAGGCTGGGAGGGAGCTAATGGGACAAATGGGGGGATAATGATACTTCATATTAAAGGGACACTATAGTCACCAGAACTACTACAGTTTAATGTAGTGGTTCTGGTGTCTATAGCCTGTCCCCGTAAGCTGAGCACTGTAAATGCTACCTTTTCAGAGAAAAGGCAGTGTTTACATTGCTGCCTAGGAACATCTCTAGTGACAGTCACTCAGACGGCCACTAGAGCTGCTTCCTAGTGCAGTGCTGCATAGTGTGCCTGGGCCTGGGCTGTTCTGAGAAATTTTAGGTAACTTACTAATAACAATTAATGCAACTAAATTTAAGTTTAGAACAAGAATAATGTAACCTATTTATACAGACTGATTTCTTAAAACATTTATCGTAGTTTAAAGACACATTACTGTGAGTAATATTGCTGTGAAGCTCTGTTACACACTCAGACACACCAACAAAAAGAAAAGAGAGAGGGGGGCGGGGCCGGGTCACCGGGCCGACTGGAAGCAGACAAGCATGGCTCTGAGCCCGATGGCTACAATGGCTATAAAACATCATATAACTCACCCCAAAGTCAGACATCCGAGCATGCTGAGGTGAGAGAATCACCCCAGCTTCAAAATGGCACCTGTAAAGGGCCAACAGCACACCGGGAACACTGCCACGGTTAAATCAGGCCAACCTGCCACCATAAGCCTGCCTTATGGCGTAAGAGTGAGACTTAGAGGCAGGTGGCCCCCTCGGATGGGAAATGCACCTCAGAGACAACTATCCTCATAGAGGACTACGCTGACTTAGGGAATGGCCCCGTTCCCCCCGGCCTCTGGGTATGAGGTTAGGGTTAGGGTTAGGGTTAGGGTTAGCCCTGTGGGGCAGGAGTGCGCTGCCCTTCTGGCGGACCGGTGGCCGTGGGGGTCATGCACCGGCTCCAAGTGTGAGGCTGGTACCGGGAGAGACTTGGGAGTGCGCACTCTATAGGGAACAACACGGTGCTGGGGAGGTGCAGGGGGCGGGCGGGCTGCAGACTTTGTGGTGGGGTCAAGTGGACAGTCTCAGCCCCTGAGTGCCCACGGTGCCGCGGAGGACCTGGCTGGTGGGCTGGGGTCAGTGTGGGGAAGGCGGAAGGAGGCTTAGCAACCCTGGGACTGTACTGTAGCAGAGGCATGTGAGGCCTCCCTAGGACTGCCACGCAGGATGACATCTTATGCTACAATGCCCCCGGGGGCTTTAGTTTAATGTTGTTATCTAGTGCTTGCTTAAAGGACCACTCTAGGCACCCAGACCACTTCAGCTTAATGAAGTGGTCTGGGTGCCTGGTCCAGCTAGGGTTAACCCATTTTTTCATAAACATAGCAGTTTCAGAGAAACTACTATGTTTATGAATGGGTTAAGCCTTCCCCTATTTCCTCTAGTGGCTGTCTCATTGACAGCCACTAGAGGCGCTTGCGTGCTTCTCACTGTGATTTTCACAGTGAGAGCACGCCAGTGTCCATAGGAAAGCATTATGAATGCTTTACCCCTTTCCTCCTTAAAGAGCCGGGCGGGATTGGGACCCTGAGGGTGGGGGCACCCTCAGGGCACTATAGTGCCAGGAAACCGAGTATGTTTTCCTGGCACTATAGTGGTTCTTTAATAACCTGATTGCTGCATTATATGATGACTAGCTACATGCCCACAACCTTAACTTAATGACACAACATACTTACTCCGCATATAGACATTGCTTACAGCAGATTGATATGTTATATGATGAATATACTCATGTTCATAACTTAGCTTACAATTGAATATGTATTTTATGGCACACTGCCTCAGCGGGCTTTATTTATTACTGCTTATTTAATGGCAAAAGGCACAATACATACTTTATTAATTACACATAAGGCCATCAGCCATGAGCACTCTGATGTTTAATTGTTGAATATCGTGTATTATGCACAGGTGTACCGTGCATTTTGAGCCTTAACCTGATAGGACTAGCCTATACGGTCCACGCATATGTATGCGGCAAATAAAATGTTTATTATTATGCCCATGCGATTAGTTAGTGAATACATATAGAGGACACATAATTTGGGCATTGCTGTTAGCCTGAATTGCTGCATATAAAGATGTACTGCGTTTTCCATGAGGATAAGTTAAACGTATGCTTGTTGTATATTTTAGATTCAGTTATGCCTATATTATTTGACTTTTATGTTACTGTTATAATTTTGCAAGGAATTACTGACAGCTTAGAACCTGACTTTACAGTGATGACTTAAGCCTATGTGTCTTATTGCTATTACAGGCTTTAATTATCAGCATATCACCATATTAATTTGTCACATAGCCAAGTGCAGATCAGGCAGCCCATGGCCTGCGCTGACTGCTAATACTAAATGAGGGAATAGAGCTCAGTCTGAATGACACACAGAAAGATACTTATGCTATACAGATTTATGGTAGTGCAGAATACAGTTTAATCTGTGTTTAACGCTCCCTTATACGCTGTCGTTTTAAGAACATATAGGTTGTTATTAGCGTTACTGTTAGTAATGTTAGTAAAATACTGTTAATTAATCAGACTAAATCATTTCAGCGCAGTAAACTATGCCGACACTTGTTAACTGTAACTGACTTAACGATGCCTGCATCTTCAGCTTTCTAAGCCTATGCGTAGGCGACCATACACCTTATGTGACCTTTCCCTGACTTATTACGCCTCTGCGCAGGCATCCATGCATTAATTTTTTTAATTTGCTCCATATCTGCTATCATCTTGCATATAAAATTTAAAACAGAAAAGAGAGAAATTAGGATAGGGAAAAGGGACAGAGGGACTTGGGCTCAAAATAGGGACTGTCCTTCCTAAATAGGGACAGTTGGAAGGTATGTTAAAGTGATACTGCCACAAATGATGTAATTGGAGGTGTTATCTCTCAGTCTCTCAGCGGTGTATATCACTCTCAATATTATAAGGGATTCAAGGCCAACAATAAAAGGATGCCAAAATTAGACCCAGGGCTTTCCAGGACCTCAAAGGGGCTCCAACCTATGTCAGTCAACCCTAGAAGTGACTAATTATGCAAACAAGGTTATTTACCAACGTGAAAATTGTCATAAATTCAAAGTAAATTCAAAGTGAATTTTTAATATTAGACCAAAATAGTTAAATAGAAAGCATAGCTGACTTGGACATTTTTTCCAATTTGCCTAATTTTGCCTTAAATTTAAAATTCACTTTGAATTCACAATAACTTATTAACTTTCACTTTAATAAATCACCTTGTAAGTTCTGGCTGCATTTTTCCTTTGCATATAATGGTCAATAGTGATACTTAAAATCATGCCAACGACTCAAAGCCAGAGCAATCTTGAGGAATTGCATTGCAGGTGACAACATTGCTACATACACAGCATATGTTTTCTATGTTCTGTTATGTTTGTTGATAAAGTACAGTGAGAGAGAATGAATCTTCAGTAAGCAATGATATTGACAGAGAGAGACAATCATGTAGTGAAATAAAAGGGAGGGGAAGGATGAGTAAGGAAATGAAAGCAGTATTTTCTGCCTGGCTCCCTGCCAAGACTACAAGTTATATCGATACTGGGGAGTCCAAGGTCGCCAGTGACGGCAGAAATACCAGGCATCTCTTATGGGTGGGGTCGGAGGCAGCAGAAACACGTTTGTATTACATTAGATTATCACGTTCAATGTCATACAATGACATGCCCCACTTTAAAGTTACCCTTCTCCATAACAATGATTCCAAATTCCTTAAAATTCACCAGAATTTCAGCAATGCTATTTCACAGTGCATTTTTCTGGGTTGCTGGATATTATTATTATTATTTGCATTTAAATAGCGCCAACTTATTCTGCAGAAAGGGAATATGAAGAAGGCCCAAACAAGCTCACAGTCTAGGAGAATAGGAAAGTGAACATTTTAGAGAGATTGAATAAAACTCTAGAAAGGAATAGGATAAATAAATGTGTTAAATTTTCTCATTTGCTAATTACAAAGAGCCTTTGAGTAAATAGCAGTTGGATTTCAGCATGATTTTACAGAGTAACAATTTAAAATGCTATTTCAGCCCTTAGGAAATAGTTTGTGATCATTATATTTTATACAGTCAAAGGACTATTAACCAAATAAAAAAGAAATAAAACTATAACAACAAAAAAATTTAGTTGCATTTTGCACCCCAAGACCCAAAACGACTTTGGTTTATTTTACAGCTTTTCACCTAAATAATTAAAGGATTACTGAAACCACCATGACCATGACCACCGTGGGATAAATAGTAGAGCATCAAATGTGCCCTTAAAGGATTGAACTAGTCATGGTGGAAGACGTCTGTATAACACTGCACCTCCAGATATATTGCAATTGTGTACATGTGACTTTGGCAGCCTAGAACGCTGTCTAATGTCAGTTTTGTGCATAAAAAAAAATGTCTGTCATCAGTGCGCACTGCTTTTTCCCTTGTAGGCAGAGCCGGTAAGTGGATGCTCTTGTCTGCCCTACCTCCCTCCCACATGATTGTAGTCCTCCCTGCCTCTCTTTCCCCCTCCCCAGAACACGTGCATGCTTGCAAAGCCAGTTAAATCCTCCAATCTAAGGTTTCTCTATAAGAATTTGACTGGATCTTGGTGTGGCTCTCATGACATCAGACAGGGTGCGCTATGCATTTCCAGATGCTTTGCTTTGTGCTGGATTAAGGTAAGTTAATCTTGGTCCCAAACCTGCCATAGACATGGTTCGTCTTACCCATCTGACTAAAGATGTAATTGCTTAAACAAAAGCCATTTTAATTTTAAGGATAATGAGTCATTGTCACCCCACGATTCTATTAACTGGAGTACCAGAGTAACAACCCAAGTATAATGATATTTAGGGCATGGAGGACGCTTAAATCTGATACCCTTCATAAGTCTGCAGACTAAGGGATGTTTGCCCACAGGGAAAAATTCAATAGGAGCGTGATTTGCTGAGATAGCTGGTCGATAGACATTAATGGTGCGATAAGCCTTGTCTGAGTCAAATGAGACTGACAAAAAATTTCAAATGTTTGCTAAATCAGAACGGGATCCACAGCCCATTCCATGCACCAGTTAAGCCAAATTTTCCAGGCTGATCTGTAATTTGCACGGGTACCTGGTGCCCATGCTTCTGAGAGAATGTCTCTAGTTGAGTTTGAAAATTCACTACGAGATTCGTATGACCCCAGATGAGAGATGCTATTAAAGGTAGTTGGCCTGATAGTACTAGAGGATAAAGATTTCCCTCCGGATCGCAAAGAGCATTCCGACACATCTGTATGAGTTGTGGGTAGTCTATCAGCATGCTGAGAAGCTGAGGGAACCATGGTTGTAATGGCCAGAGAGGGGTTATTACCACTAGGGTTGATTTCTGAGACCATGCTTTCAGAAGTACCCAAGATATCATCGCAAATGGGGAAATGCATAATTGACTCCGTCTTTCCAGCATTGGAGGAATGCATCCTGATCTGCTGCCTCTGGATCCGGATGCCAACTGAAATATTTTTCGAATTGACGATTGAGTCGTGATGCAAAGAGGTCATATTGAAACGGACCCCACAGGGAAAGTAGTCGGAAGATGTTGGGATCCAACATCCAGTCGCTGTAATCTACTAGGAAACTGGAATTCCAATCTGCTACTGTATTGGAAAGGCTGGGAAGATAGTCTGCTCGTAAAACTATGTTTCGATCAAAGCAAAAGTGACAAAAATCTTTGGCAATGTTCGCCAGTTGCTTGGATTTTGTACCTCCTAAGCGATTTATGTATTGGACTGCTGATATGTTGTCCATCTTGAGAAGAATACAGCAATGGGATTTATGTTTCGCAAAGCTGCGTAGAGAGAAAAATACTGTCATGAGTTCCAGGCAGTTTATATACATACTCGTCCCTTCTAGAGACTATTTGCCTCCTACAGAATTGCCTCCACAATGGGCTCCCCAGCCTACTCAACTCTATAATCAGATCTAGGAATGAAGTGAAAATGGCTTTCCCGTTCCAAATTTGAACATGATCTAACCACCAGAATAGTTCTGTTCTTGTCTCTGGAGTCAAAGAGATTTCGTCTGAATTAAGGAGACCGTTGTGTAGATGTTCCCTTTTTAATCTTTAAAGAGCCCGATAATGAAGGGGGGCCGGAAAAATCATTTGAATCACGGCTGATAAAAGACTTACGATCCGTGCCAGAGATTTGATTGAAATGAATTCCTTGTTCAGAACTCACCTGATCTCTTTCTAAATCGTTTTCAATTTCTGTGATGGAAGACTGAGAGTGGCTAAATTGGAATTCACTAGAAATCCCAAAAATTATATTTCCTGAGAGGGAGTTAAAATCGATTTCTCATAATTTATTACAAAGCCAAGGCTTCGTAACAGATTCAATGTACATTGAGAATGTAGTTGAAGAGTTTGCACACTCTGTGAAATAATCAATATGTTGTCTAGATAGATTATCATTCTCACTCCCCTGCTTCAAAGCAGGGATACTACTGGTTTGAGCAATTTGATGAAACACCAAGGTGCAGAGGATAATCCAAATTGCAATGATGTGAATTGCTATTTCTTACCTACCTATATGAATTGTAAATAATTCTGACATGAATGGTGAATAGGTACCGTGAGGTACACACCCTTCAAATCTATTTTGATCAACCAGTCGATGAGTATTAATAGGTCTTTCAGATAATAAATTCCCTCCATTTTGAAATGGTGGTATCTGACAAAATTGTTTAAAGATTTTACATTTATGACTGGTCGGTGACCAGAATCTTTCTTTTTCAACAAGAATAAATTGCTTATGAATGATACAAATTGCTTATGAAGCCTTGACTGTTCATGGGCACCTGCATGATGGCATTTTTTGAGCATACATTTAATATTTCTTGATGGAACAGAGCTTGGTCTTGGATCGAAAATGTTATCGGGAAAGGTATTTTTCTTTGAACGGGATATGATATAAAATCTATTTTGTCTCACGCCTCCAAATGTGTATGGTCCCAACAATGGCTACATATATTGTGCATTTCAAGGACTGGCTCGTTTTACCCTTACCCTGCACTTGTGTCTTGCTAGTGCTCGCATGCCAACTCTAGCGTGTTAAGTTCAGCACACCTGTTTTCTTTAAATACTATGATGCTAAACGTGTTATTCATAGGTTGAAACGTGTTATCCATATGTTGGAAAGCTTAAACAATATAAAATGAGGCCGTTACTCATAGGAGATGTTTACTCTGTGTTAGTGTGTACCTAATCTGTATAACTACCGTACATCCCCTTCTCTCCATTCTGTACCCCTATTAACATCTGCCTCAATAAAAGAAAGATTGACAAAAAAAATCTATTTTGTATCCCAGAACAGTGTCTAGTATCCAAGAATCGTTTGTAATCTGACTCCAAACGTGAACATAACAGGTGAGTCTGCCCTCTAACCCTTCTAGGGAAGAAAGGGGAATTGTTGTACTTGCTGGATGAAGATCTGAAGCGAGATATTCCCCGATGGCCACATAGTGGGAAGAATGGAGTTGTTTGTTGGGTGGGCTGAAAGGTGTTCCTTGGAACCTGTCTATGTTGAAAGTAACAGCTGGAAGAGCGGTTCCTTCCTCTACCAGCCCTTCCAAAAACCTTAGGGTTGAATACTTTCCTCAGAGATGACATAGGGAGCTAAATAAATTATAGACACGTGCAATTCGTTTCGGTCCGCATATGAATTCGGATGAATTTTGGGCAATTCGGACATTCGGGTACTTCAGAATGTCCGAATTGCCAAAGTGCCGTATTGCTGAGGTCCCGAAGTTTCGAAATTACCGAAGTTTCGAAATTACCGAAGTTCTGAAGTGCCGAAGCACAGTATTGCCTAAGTACTAATATACTTACCCAGTGAAAGAAGAATAATGTTACATTGTATACAATTTTAAATAAAAAAGTAAACAAACATAGCCAGGATTCAGCTGTAAGCATTTGCAACACTTACAACAATCAAGTAACATACATTCATATAAAATGTAAGTTACTTGGCCAGTCAATGTAATGACAGGAATGAATAAGTAGATAACTCCCTAATTCCCACGAAATTAGGGAGCTATCTACTAAAATGCTGAAAGACCTAAATTGGTCTTTCAGCCAAATTTACTAATACTAAGTAAAGATTACTTAGTATTAGTAAATTATGCCCCTACTCGCTATACCGCGAGTAGGGGCATGTCTATTAAACAGCCTGTGGCTGCTCATTGTTAAAAAAAAAAAAAAAAAACCTATTGCCACCCCTGAGCGGCGGGTGGGGGCCCTAAATTGGTATAAGCGGGGGGGGACCTAATGTCCTCCCCCCCGGCCCCCACCCCTGAGCGGCGGGTGGGGGCCCTAAATAAATTTTAAAAAATTTAGGGCCCCACCCGCCACTCAGGACAGGGGACCGGGGGGGCAATAGGTCCTTCCTTTAGTTTAAAAGCCCAGTGAGGCTGCTCACTGTTTACTAGACAGACATGCCCCTACTCACGATATAGCGAGTAGGGGCAAAATTTACTAAAACTCAGTAATTTTTACTTAGTATTAGTAAATTTGTCTGAAAGACCAATTTAGGTATTTTAGCCTTTTTGTAGATAACTCCCTAATACCGTGGGAATTAGGGAGTTATCTACTAAGCGGCTGCAAGAGAAGTTTCTGAAGTGCCAAAGTTCCGAAAATCCGAAGTGCCGAAGTTGCCAAATTCCGAAGTGTCGATGTGCCGAAGTTCCGAATTGCCAAAGTCACGAATTTCGGAATGCCGAACCGAACCAAAGATTTTTCCCATGCACATGCCTAATAAATTGACATATTTATTAATGTCTTTAATAAAGGATTCTCCAAACAGGTGACCTTCAGCCGCTGGTCCAGGTTCAGAAGTTGTTAAATTCAAAAACTGATGGTCAATTTTTATTAAAATAGACCTGCTGCGTTCTCTTGTCAGAGCTGCGTTAGCATTTCCCAAAAAGCATATAATGCGTTGGGTCCAACCTCTTAAAATATCTATGCTGGGAGGAATTCCAGAAGTTTCAGTTTGTTCTAAAGTCTCAAACATTTTTGCCACAGGACCAGATATGTCCATTAATATATCTTGCCAAAATTTTAGTGATCTGTCAAGTCCTTTAGTTTTGTTCTTCCCTGATTTTGTTAAAAAATGCACAATAGTGGGATCTAAATCAGGGGTCTGTGCGACTTTCTTAGACAAAGTCGGTCTAGGGCATTCAGCTCTTAGCTTATTTCTAGCCGCTTGGTCAAGGGGTTTCCTCAACCAGCATTCAAGATATTTGGCTACATGAGCTGACTTAGGGTGCTTAATATGGTCTGGGTCAAATGATGGTTTCCCATTAACATCCATTATAATATTCTCTTCATCAGCTTTAAAGAGAAACTCAGGTGCCTCTGAAACAGATGAATAATTTGAGGCAGAATCAGATGCAGATTTTTCATCTTCTGAGTTTGAAGATGAGTCCTCATTCGAGGAGGTTTTACAGTTGTCAGGTTTGCTCCTGTGAATGGCCTTACGAGCTCATCTGTCTTCTTCATGAGCAGAAGGTCTTTTGAGTGATTGATTGCATTCTTCGGTTTTGCGTGAGACACGCAATTTGTTCTGATCTTGGTCAATCCGCATCCCCTTATGTGACTTAGAACAGCCAAGGGATTCTAAAGGACCATGAAAGCAGTGTTTGGATTTCTGGGTGGCCTTCCTAGACCTCCTGAATCCCTGAGCTAAATTCCATTCTGACTCCACAGATGACCAGATCTAGTCTGAAGAAGTATTAATTAAGTGAGTCTTATCACTAGGTTTTGAATTGCTTATGGCCTGAGCCACAGACTTTGCAAATGTTTCTTGCATGGAAGTCATTGCAGTATAAATTGCAGATGAAATTGATTTGTGAATGGATAAGTCTATAATATTTTGTAAAGAATCCTCAGTGAAGATTTCACAGTCATGAGTAGCACCAGGTTTTGGTGACTGAGAAGGAGTTTGTCTAATTTCTTTAGAATTTATATTCAATATTGCAACAAATTGTAATTTGTAATTACTATTAGTAAATAGTAAAATAATGTTGCAAAAGATTAGGTAAAAACCTGACAGGAAAGTCAAATAATTTCAAACTTATAATAATTACCAATAAAGAGCAACAAAGTTGTGGAGAAGCTGTGCTGAGGTAAAGTGGGCGGGAATGTTAGCTGAGAACCAACTAACAGGAATTCCCATCCATAATAAAGTCATCAATCTATGAGGGACTACCTGAAATTGTGTGTGCAGCAATTCGCATGAAAAACTGTCAAAATAAACTGAACAGTGAAATACACGTTCGTACACAAAACCCGCAAACGCGAGTATAATAAACTAACACAAAAAAACAAATGGCTGCGATTCTTGAGTAAACCACCGAACGCGAGTTTCGAAATAACTGAAAATTAACAATTCGTATGAAAACTACCGAACGCGGACAAACTGCAAACTCACTTCAGATGAAAAGGCGCGAATGCCAGTGTGTATGAACCAAATATATATATTAAACAAAAAAAAATAGAAAAATATATAAAATTACTTCAGAAAACATACCACATAAAGGAATAAATATATTTAACCAAACCAGAAGGTATTATTATAGAAAACAGTAGCATAAGTGAATATATATAGAAGGCTTGGCCTGTAATTGTAGGAGGTACATTTTTTTTCCCTACTTATGCCCCGTGAGCCCCTACTCACCCGTCAGCGACATTTCCAGAAGTACCCCTCCCACTGCACCCTCGGTTTAAACATAATTTCACCTAGGTGGGCCCTATTTTACAGGTCTAACCTCACGTCAGTTTCGGCACACCTCAGCTGTCTTTGCTCTTTCTAATACTGTTTCTTTCTTATTATTTATTTGTTTCCTTACGTCCTCGAAATGTGCTTATCTCTCCTGGAGCAGCAAAGAAAGAGGAAGAATATTGGGGATCATTCACTATATTGACTATGCCGGATGCTGATTGGCTCCTGAGTGTTCCATTTGAGTTACTTTGTTTTTTGTCTTTTATTCACTAAACTTTATTGAAAAAATGTCTTTGCTACTGGAGTTAAATAAAGAAAGTTAATGCATAATACGAGCCTCCTGTCTTGCTATAAAATTCCCAGAAACCCTTTCTTTGAGTAGAACGGAGGCTGGGCACAGACAGCTTTGAAATCTGTTCGTCACTCCTTTCCCCTACAAATTATTCAGGCAAACAGATTTTCACAGATTTATACCCCTTGCAGTGCTGGGGTAAACATTTCGGATTTGGCTGAAACAAAGCCCTGTTATGTGAAATGTATTGCTAAGACTGTCTTGATTTAAAGGTTTTGCCTAACTAATTGTCATGATGGGGCTATGTTAACATTGATATTTGCATGTGTTTGTGTGTATTTTGCCTTTTTATGGATTAATAGCAGCAACGTTAAACTTGCAAGATTTTGTTTTGATTTTTTTTTAACCTAAATGAATAGACTTAGAGATTTATTTTGGGCTAAAAGGCAGTTCTAGCCTGCCACATGCCAGAATCTTGGGGAAACCGACTTCTGGCATCAGAAAAGAGGGGATGGAATGGAGAAAAGGCTGCTTTGTTTTGTTTTATTCATTTCTGGTGAGGCAAATAAACCACTAACTTACCATGACTGCCACCACAACCACTTACACATCTGTAGGGCTCCCGCCTCCCAGTGCCAGGACTGCCAGCACAACTACTTACACATCTGTAGGGCTCCCGCCTCCCGGTGCCAGGACTGCCACAACAACAACTTACACATCTGTAGGACTCCAGCCTCCCAGTGCCTGAACTGCCACCACAACCACTTACACATCTGTAGGGCTCCCGCCTCCCAGTGCCCGAACTGCCACCACAACCACTTACACATCTGTAGGGCTCCCGCCTCCCAGTGCCAGGACTGCCACCACAACCACTCACACATCTATAGGGCTCCCAGTGCCCGGACCACCACCACAACAACTTACACATCTATAGGGCTCCCAGTGCCAGGAATTAGCTTATTGGTCAAGATTCCTGTCATCATTCATATAATTTTCCCTCCCTTTCTCTTGCGTTGCCACTTTTCTGAAATCTGAAGCACTTCGGAACTTCGGCAATTCAGCACTTCGGCACTTTAGCATCCGAATGTGCGAATTTCACGAAATTCGACTGAATATACATTCGGAGTGAAACGAATTGCACATGTCTAATAACTTCCCCTAAAAAAGGAAAATCTGGGAATATAATAGAAACAAATAGCACTTAATTTAAGCAATCTAGTTAGAAAAATGGGGATAATAGATACAAATTAGTAGCAGTTTATTGAGTTGATACACACATATCCAGTGTCTCAGAAGGCTTTATTGGATATATGCCAATTACATCTCTGGATGAAACGATAGCTGCTACTAAGTAAAATTACAGGCTGAGAGATTGTGTGGGGAGGTGCAAAGATTTGATAGCTGTATCTCTAATATTCCCAAATAGAATAGAATAATTGGAAGCACAATAATAGAAAAAAAACTATAGGTAGCTGTAACTGGATAGTTATTATGTAATTCCTGCTCATGCCTCACAAAAAAGTAGAAAAGTATAAGCTATAATAGATGGATAATAAGAATAGAATTAGTGAGTAAATAAGTCTGAGTCTCCCTCATTAGTACATCTGAAAGAAATGAAGAGTAAATAGAATACACAGGGAAAAGGATGAATAAATCCACTCAAAAAGATAATTAATTTAAAATACAACAAATAATAAGATGGACAAAAAATTAAATAGAATTTCCTTCACTAATATATCTAAAATATATAGTGAATAGGTCAAGAACACAGAGATTATCTATCTCCAATGGCTGTCCCTATAACACTCCTCAATAATTCTAAAGTGTCACATAACTAATTCTATAGCATACATAAATAAACTCCACTTACAAAGATTAGTAAAATCTGCAGCTAAGCTACCTAGGTTAAATTACCAGATAGCTAATACCTCATCTGCCTCAGCCCACTACCTCCCACTAAGTAATAAACCTCTCAATCTCAAAAAACAATCTCAAAAGAAAATCCCCATATGCACCCTCTTAAAAAATGAAACAAAATTAAAGGTGCTACAAGGTGCTCGAAGTGCTCAAAGTGAAAGAACAATTAAGAGGCTAAAGGCCTGACGCATGTCTCGGTGCCAAAATGCACCTTCGTCAGGGAAGATTTTTTTCCCCAACCTTTACATGCTACTTCCTCTGGCACTGCAGCTCCTTCTACCACAGCTAGTTTAAGTCTACTTTCCCTACCGGTGCAAATATAGCACTTTTACTTCTGGCCCTAGTATAAATGGAAAGGCAAAGGGCCGAGTATTACAAAAACAAAGCAAAGTTGGATTACTTTGAGTCATTCCAAAAATGCCGACTTGCAAACTACCAATTGTGCTGCAAGGAACTGAATAGGAGGCAAGTAATGGATCATCCTGCTAGAGCTAGTCTGAATCATCATCTGAAAAGACACTATTACTAAGGGAGGCAGCAGGTTCACTGTTGCTGTATCTGATTTTGCACAGTTGTCAAAACCTACCAACCGTGATACCCCTCCAATACTGTGCTGTGTTCAGTGTAGTTAAACACAATTGCATTACAGTAGTAGATCCACCAACCAGCAATCCATTTTCCAGCAGAAACACAAGGCAGGGTAAAACCACTACAATGACAGGCATCTTTAAAAAGGGAAGCAACAGCGCCTGCTCCACTGCTACCATCCATTGACAGAGGTGGGGACATGTTGAGGATAGTGGCAATCATTAGTAGATTCAAAGAGGAAAGTTAGACAGTGACAGACTTATCATCCCAGGGAATTGTCCACCATACTACTCTTGAACAATTTGTTAGACTTCATTTCAGGGCCATGTTTAAACATCAATCTAACAGAGCCACCTGCTTGATTGCTCAGGTTTATGGAATGCACCTACTGTCTAGCATACCCTGTTTTTCTTCATGGCACACTGGTGGCAGCCCACGGTGCTTGGATATGGTAGTGGAGGAGTACCCACCTTCTGCAAACCATACTTGAATGTTGCAGGAGGATTGATGAGCATTTCCCCCATAATTTTGAGGCAGGAGCAAGAGAGATGAGGGCTTCCCATTTACCATCTATGACAAAAAGTGGAACTATTCTTTAGATAAGGTGGAAAGCATTTTGTAACAGCAAATGGCAATCCACAGTTTATCTTCCCACCACTCTGTTGATGTTGACTGCTCACTGGGCAGAATCTTTGACCCACAGTAAGGCCAGGCAATATTGTAGTCATTTTTGCATGTTATCACAGTCATAGGCACCATTGTATTTGCTGATAGAATTTCTTCCCTGAATTTGTTCTGCCGCCCCTAAAGAGAAAAGCATTTTGGCTGCAGTGATTTGGAAGACGTGCAAAAGTCTATAAAATAACAATCACCAAATGAAGATCCTGCTGATTTAGTAAAGTGTTTAATAAATACATGTATACAATGCTGCACAAAAGCCGTTCAGTTTATAAACAATAACAATTATAATAATAGGCTGGGAACTTAAAAACTAGACTGGATTTCAGTATGTGCTGCTGATTCTGGTGATAACTAGAACTGGTTTGCCGTTGACAAGTAATTTTTGCTTTGGGATTCACTGACTTCACACACCAGTGTTTTAATGGAAGTAGGGCCCACAAATGCATCATAGACCTTAGAGCATGGTAATAAAATGTTCTTCCCACAGACAGCTGTCCTGCAATAAACTAAAGAGTCAATAACAGATTAATATGCTATAGGGATATGCAGTTAGTTCCCTATCAAAGCAACAAAATAACAGCAATGGCCAGTAGATGCCTGCATGGACCCCCATGAACCCCCAAGCCCCAGGATCTAATACTGCACTTCCAGATAAATAACCAGAGGAGGTGCTCTCCTGGGTTACCCTTCTATCTAACACAGGCAAATGAAATCAAGAAAGCAGGTTAATAAAAAAGCAAGGGGTACAAGGATCACAACTGTTGTATGTCTCATGAGGCACAAGTATTTTTACTTAGGGGTGATGGTGAAGAGGAAATCCATACTATGGGTAATGGGGCAAAGAGCATATTTATAGCATTCTGGTTGTTAAGCGAGGCACAGATTAGATAGAGATTTGTTAAAGAGTCACTGTAGTCACTTTGACTGCTTTAGTGGTTATAATGTAAAGAGTCCCCTGGCACTATCCTGCCAGTCAAAGTAAAATAACTTTAATGTGTTAGTTGTACATAAGTCCATCCCCTCTGTGCTGCTTCAGCTAATAAACAAGCAATAGCCTGAGCACAATTGATGGCTGTAATTGGTTGAAACTATCAGCTGACCACTTTTAGCCTATCACAGCGTTAATTTCTGGTATGAATTGAAGCTATGTCTTAGCCATACCTCCAGTAGACGCCATGTTGTGGGTGACCAGGGACCCATATATATTGTTAAAGTGCAAATGGATGGACAGTGCCTGGGGACTCCAGGAGATATAACCAATTAAATGAGATGAACTGACTATATTGCCTACAGTGTCCTTTTAAGCAATTCTCATGCCCAGCCAGGCCAAGGAAAAATGTGTGTGCTTTATTGACCACTTACATCCATCATTTCAGGACAGCAGCAGTATATCACAAAACTAAAATCAGGCAGCTTGGTTGCACGATTGCAATGCATGGCCTGTAGCTTCAGCTCCAATAGCCCCTATGTTAATCTGACTGTGCAGCTCTATATACAGGGGTCAAGTCCTGGGGAAAAAAGTGTGGGAACTCTCCCAAAAAAAAAACCAAAACACTTGTATGTATGTTTATATATATGTGTGTGTGTGTGTGTGTGTGTGTGTGTATATATATATATATATATATATATATACACACATACATACACACGCGTGCACACACACTCACACAGTGGTGTATTTTAATTTTATGCTGCCCTAGACATGACTATAGAGCACCCCCCTAATCTAAATTTACCACTCCTTCATGTCAAGGGTGCACCGCTTCCTGATTAAGAACCCACCCCTTCCTCTTTAGACTCCACCTTTTCCTGCTCCTTTTAAAGAAATACTATAGTGCCAGGAAAACAAAGTTGTTTTCCTGGCACTATAATTCCGTATAGTGCCCCCCTCCTCTCATGTCCTCCCCTCCCCCACTCGACACTGAAGGGGTTAAAATCCTATGGGTATTTAGCAGATGCTGGATGTCCTCATGCACAGGGTGAGGACGTCCAGCATTAGTTAGGTGACTTTTGGTCACCTAACCACCCAAAAGTCCCTCTAGTGGCTGTCTGATAGACAGCCACTAGACTTGGAGTTACCCCTCAGGTAATTATTGCAGTTTCTGAGAAGGTTTAAGGGGACTGGGATACTGCACCCAGACCACTTCAAGGAGCTGAAGTAGTCTGGCTGCCTATAGTGTCCCTTTAAGCACACTCTCTGACAGACACCCACACTGGCAGATACACACTGTAAGTAACACACACATACGTCACTGATTTGACACACACATTCACTGACACACACTCATTCATTGACAGAGAGACACACACTAATAGTCACACACACACTAAATGACAGACTCACTTATTTGACAGAAACTTTCAATAACGTATGCACATACATGCAATTGCAAACATACACATGCATACACTAACAGAAGCACATACACTCACATACACACGTATAAACGCTAACAGACATAAATACACTCCTACACACACTGAGACAAACAGACATCCACAGACAGACATCCACACATCCACAGACAGACATCCACACATCCACAAACAGACATCCACAAACAGACATCCACACATCCACATCCACACATCCACAAACAGACATCCACAAATCCACAAACAGACATTCACAAATCCACAAACAGACATCCACAAACAGACATCCACATCCACACATCCACACATAGACATCCACACATCCACAAACAGACATCCACATCCACACATCCACAAACAGACATACAGACATCCACAAACAGACATCCACAAATACACACACAGACATCCACACACAGACATCCACACACAGACATCCACACACAGACATCCACACATCCACAAACAGACATCCACACACAGACATCCACACACAGACATCCACACACAGACATCCACACATCCACACACAGACATCCACACATCCACAAACAGACATCCACACATCCACATCCACACATCCACAAACAGACATCCACAAATCCACAAACAGACACACATCCACAAACAGACATCCACACATCCACCACAGACATCCACAAACAGACATCCACAAAACAGACATCCACAAATCCACAGACATCCACACATCCACAAACAGACATCCACAAATCCACAGACATCCACAAATCCACAGACATCCACACATCCACAAACAGACATCCACACATCCACAAACAGACATCCACACATCCACAAACAGACATCCACAAATCCACAAACAGACATCCACACATCCACAAACAGACATCCACAAACAGACATCCACACATCCACTAACAGACATCCACACATCCACATCCACACACAGACATCCACACACAGACATCCACATCCACACATCCACACACAGACATCCACACATCCACATCCACACACAGACATACATATATACAACTTAATAATATTATAAAAAAATTAACATTTCCCACCCACCCACCCAGCATCCCTACCTTTCCCTGGGGTCCAGTGGGGCTGCAGTGAGGACGGCTCTCTCCCTGTCACACGCGGAGAGGGAGCTGTGTGCTCTCTGCTCCCTCTCGCCGCGCGGGATGTCTGCTGTAGCTGGGAGCCGGGTTGATGACGTCATATTCCGGCTCCCAGCATCAGCAGACATCCCGCGCGGCGAGAGGGAGCAGCGAGCACACAGCTCGCTCTCCGCGTGTGACAGGGAGAGAGCCGTTCGCCAGGTGGCCCCCCCCCCCCATGACAGGGGGAACACAGGGCATTTGCAGGAACGCCATTCCCACGCGTTCCTGCAGGACTCGAGCCCTGTCTATATAGACTATCCTTAATAAATTAATACCTTAATAATCAACATGCGCCCATTAATATGGATATTTCTTATAATCCCAAAGTATATAAGGACTCTGGATAGCTGTTAATGTTAAGACAGAATGGGTGGCAATGACAGAATTGTTTTATTGCATATTGTAGCGTGCACTTAACTTGTTTATATATCTACATGAGATTTTTTTTTTTCCTGAATGTGTGCATAAGTTCACTGCTGTCCCTCCTTCTCTACCTTCTCTTTCATTCTGAGTTTTTCTCTGTAGAACAAATAATCACTTCCCTGGCACAGAGCTTGTTACAGCCTGAATCTCTCCAGTGTTTGGACTCCTGGTATCCTAGACACAAGCCCTCATGGCTGGGGGTACGAAACCATACGAGATGCTTAAATATACTGCCCCATGGCAGGTGCTTTGCAGTGGCTTGGAAAGGAGAGAGCAGGTGAGTTAACAAGGGCGCTGAGCTGTATTTCAATTGCATACATGTTTATATATTTTTGAGATTATAACATTTGTCTTGTGCTTGGTGCTGTGCTGCAAGGAATATTAAATCTTTTATATTGAGCACGTTACTGAGCAGAGAATTACTGTCTATGTCTTGAAAAGTTTACTTGTTTTTTTACTCTATGGAAATAGCGGTCAGTGTGACTGTTACTGTATTGAAACGGATTTCTTTTTTTTCAGTATTGTGGGCTGTGTGCATTGCTGCTTGTGCAACAAGGTCTAAACCTAGAACCTCAAATCTGGGGTTGAGTCAGGAATAACATTAAATGAAAAGGAATTGGGAACAATTGTAGCTAACAAACCAGGCAACAGTATGTTATGCCAGTCTGCTATTGCAGTTTCTAGCAAAGTGTAGTTATTTACAAAAAGTGGTATTGATTCATGTGATCAAAATATAAGTTTGCCTTTTTTAAATCAGCGGTAAGACTCCCCCCCCCCACCTTGAATATGCAATGCCATTTGGGGCACCAGTTTAAATAAGGATATTGCAGAACTAGAAAAATGCAGAGGCAAGCTACGAAATTAAAGAGACACTATAGGCACCCAGACCACTTCAGCTCATTGAAGAGTTCTGGGTGCAGTGTACCTGTCCCCCTTAGTCTTGTAATGTATAACATTGCAATTTTTGAGAAACTGCAATGATTACATTGCAGGACTAAGACTGCCCCTAGTGTCTGTCAGACCGCTACTAGAGGCACTTCCTGGTGGTTAAGCAAATTTTGGTTGTCTAACTGATGCTAAACGTACTCATGTTCTGCGTCAGTTACCTCCCTATAGGAAAGCTTTGAAGCAATGCTTTTCAATGGGGAGGGCCTAATGCGCTCATGGTGCTAGTCATGCATGCGCCCTAGCCACCCCATCAGATGATGTCAGAGGAGACGGAACATCGACCCAATGCCGAGGAAAACCGACGCTTGAATCAGGTAAGTGTTGCAAGGGTTTTTTAACCTTTGCAGTGCAGGAGGGGGATGCGTGTGTGGGGGGACTAGAGGGAACTATAGTGTTATGAATACAACGTTGCCTTCCTTACACTACACAATCCATAAGGGGGATGGAAAACATTAGCTATGAGGAAAGGCTAGAAAATAATTTATTTGTATTCTTTAGAAAAAAGGTGACTCAGAGATGTGATAGCACTATAGAAATATATATAGCATGATTACAAAGTTCTAGGTGCTAACCTGTTCATTAGCAGGAATATACAACAGACAAAGGGTCACCCATTGAGACTGGAAGAAAGGGGTTCACTGACAGCAGAGGAAAGGATGCTTTACAGTCAGAACCAAAACGATGAAGAATTTGTCTTGTCAAGTTCTGTAATATATATATATATATATATATATATATTTTTTTTTTTTTTAAAGGCTTTGATTTTTGGGGGGGAAGGGAAGGGGGGACAGAATATTAATGGATATATTTAACATGTACATTAAGACAATATATGTATGCCTTTATGGGAGTCAAAAAGGATTTTTTCCCATTCTTTGGCCATCACTTCAGATTGGGTTTTTTGCCTTATTTTGGATCGACAGCAAAAAACTTATGTGTTTTAATTGTTGAGTCTGATGCACTTAAGTCTTTATTCAACCTAGATTACTACGTAACTATGTAGAGCAATGTGCTAGATGCAGTGCTTAAAGTAAACGGCTGTAACTGCGTTGGTTTTTTTTTGTGTTAGTGTTGAGTAGTGTTGTGTTGAAGCTCTGTCTTACTGTGTGTTTGTTGCTGTGTTTAATTGATCTGTCTTTGTTCAGGGCAGTGTGCTTGGTGCTGAATGAGAGCTGCTGTCTACAGTTTGTTACACTTTTAGCAGTATGATTGGTGCTGTGTGGAACAGGGAAATTATAGTATCTGTACGTTCCATTACTCACAGGTTGGACCTAATAAAATAAAACGTCTTATTGATGCATGTTGAAAGTGTGTAGGCATACTATAATGTCACTGTGCTAAAGTCGTGACAGTATGCTTACTGCTGTGTAAAAGTGTTACTTTTGAAATGCAATACGGTATACTAGAAGTATGACTGAAAAGGCAGTTTATAAAATAACTGAAATGTGAAGCCTCACTATCTCAAATGTTATCCTATCTACAATTGTTATTAAAGCAAAGATCAGATATTATTTCAAAATCATAGATCATGTTATTCTTCATGTATATTGCTTTTTCTTTAATTTTACTTTCTGTTTCAGTATTCCTTATTTTTGCCATTTCACGAATAAATTACTAAGACACAACTTTTGTATATGCAGTTTTCTAGATTTGCTTTACTTGCTGCACATCTGAATTATAACACTCATTTCATAGCATAATTTTATCACACTCAAAAAGGTATTTACTAAAGTGAGAATTCAAAGAGAATTTAAAATTTAAAGGATCACTATAGTGTCTGGAAAACAAACTTGTTTCCCTTACACTATATCATCCTTAGGACCCCTCCACCCTCAGAAGCGCCTCCAGCGGCTGTCCGGAAGACAGCCACTAGAGGCTGGATTAACCCTGTAATGTAAACATGGCAGTTTCTCTGAAACTGCTATGTTTACATCTGTAGGGGTTAAAACTTGGGGGACCTGGCACCCAGACCACTTCATTGAGCTGAAGTGGTCTGGGTGACTGTAGTGTCCCTTTAAGACCAGACAAGCCAAACTAATAGTATAGTTGCTTGCTCAGCTCTAGTGTTCTTTATTCTATCTTGTTTGCACAACATGTTAAACAACATTTATTACTTAGAAAGTTCCAACCATGTCTTGATTATCTTAGCTGCAGCATTTATTCAGAGTTTCAGACATGTTTGCCTAGCTTAATGTTTCCATCTCAAAAAATGTGTAGAATTATCAAACTGTTTTGTCATATAACATGTCTTGCCTGCTCTTGCTGTTGTGGCATTGCAAGCTAGCCTGTATCTTTTCTTGCATAGCATAAAAAAAAAAAGTATATATATATTTGAATTTTTTTCAGTTTGTAGAGAATTTTTGCACATTAGCTATTTTGACTTCAAATCGGAAATTCACTTTGAAATCTCACTTTAGCAAATAACTCGGTGTCACAGTCCTTACTCACAGTTGTTTTATATCATTGTTTCTATACTTGCTGTATACTCACTAACATTCCATTGACATGATACCATTTATGGTTTTGCAATGATATTTATTTACAACGCCTTGCCCAGCCACCAAGCACACTTAATAAGTCACAATCTGCACCTTAGACCAAATTACTACTCACTCTTGACTTTAGATCCCTCCTCTCCCCTGGGTGTGTCACCCTAATGTCTCTCGGACTTTGCCTGCCAACCCTAATCTAACACATATTCTATAGTCAAAGTAGACGAGGGGCACAAGCTGGGCATTGCATTGTACCAGGACGTTAAGGTCAGTAATTGATTTTGGGTGCTTGAAAAAAGAACAAGAGAGGGTTAGGGGATTCCTATTAAGTGGCAGCAACTCCACAGTAATACAGGCTGATAAAAGGGGAGGAATGGGAGGGGGGGTGAGAGGGGGGGCAATACAGAATGGTTAGGCTAAAACAGGATAAAATTAAAGAAGTGCAGGGGTAAGTAAGAAGAAAATCATTAGCCATCCAAATTTGTTGTTTAACACCATTGGCAGTTACAAATAGCATTAGCTATTTCATGCAAAATTCTTCTCACCAGTCTGGCATCACAAATTTGGTCGCATGTAAACAGATATGCTCTTTATATCATGCTCTTTATTGCATGTAAACAGTTATTCTCTTTCTATCACAAAAACAAACAAAAAAATATTCAAATTCATTCCATATTTGGGATTTATTCACTAAACCAGCAATTGTGGAGAATATCAAGAATTCTTTTTGCTATTGCTCCAAATTAATTTTTTTTTTTGGCCTCAAATATGTAATTCTCTCACCAGCACTGTACAATTAGGTGTAAAGTAAATATTAAGACACATGTGAATATACTCTATAGTGTATAATTAAATTTGTCGCATCTTGTTTTTAAACGATTCATGTGCATACAGTCAGTGTTTGTTGTTTTTTAAAGGACTGGTAGAGAGAGAGTCCGAGAACCATCTGTGAACTTGGCTTATCAGTTGCACACAGAAGTATTGGACCATTCTCAATCCCCTCCCCACCCTATGGCTCCTACTGAGGGAAACCATAACTGAACAATGCATCAGTTGCTGATCAGTTTCCTCCCTAAGCATGCAGAGTTATTCACTAATGTGATAATTCACTGTGAATTTAAAGTGAATTTCAAATTTAAGGCCCAAGTAGCCAAACTGGAAGCATCTATGACTTAAAGAATGTTTCCAATTTGGCTATTTTTACCTTAGATTTGAATTCTCTCTTTAGTAAATAAAACTTATAGACACATATAGAATCTTTAGATCTACCAACTAAGCAATTTGTTTTTTTTTTCAAATGCAAATGTCTCTAGTAGTGTACTATTTTTTGGAATAGATTGGAGTTGTATTGTATTGTATATTGACAATATAGACATCAATTTACTTCTTTACTAGCAATAGCTGTAAAAAGGTGTTCCAAAAATAATTTTGCAAATAATTTTGCATCAGGTATCCCATAATAATCAAAAGAGGCAAATGAATATTTTTTTAGATTTTGCATAAAGCATAAAGAAACAATGTATTATTGACTGAATTTACAATCATATTAGTATTATTTAAGCAATATGAATTAATAATTGACTTGCAATTTTTGATCAGAGAAGCTAAGTTTAGTTGAATAACATTAACGTATTAAAGTAGATATATTACATTAGTTAAATTGTATATATACATATATTTTTGTATCAGCCCATGACTATTTGCTGATAAGAGAATAAAATCCAGAATATTATTTTATTGGGTTAAATGGAGTACTAAGATACATAGAGCACGTGGAAAGGTAAAATATTCGAAATCAACGGATTTTTTAAAATGTTGCCATTAAAAAGGACATTTCTAAATGATGAGGCTTATGACAATGTCAATGTAATGACACTGTACTATGAGTGCTATTATAGCTCAGTTAATAATAGTTCTAAAGTGTTCTATAAACATATTCTCAGAGCATTGAACCTTCTAACCTTTCTGCACACTGGAGATACTGAGTGCAATTCAAATTACCCAAATTCATGCTTTGACTCGCTGAGAATGATTGGAGTGGCTGTCCACAGTATTTTGAATATTGGTATACCAGTAAACTTACATATATAAGACTTTAATGCACACATAGACAACGTTCAGCATTCTAGATGTACTGGACTACATTATTCATGATGCTTTGCCAGTATTATGGCTGTAAGAGCATTATGGGTTATGTAGTTCACAACATTTGGAGTGCCAAAGGTTGCCCATACCTGCTCTAACTCCAAGAACCTTCTAAACATAACCTAACTACTCTCTAACCACAACAAAGACTTATTAAAGTTGGGTCATTGCAGCACTGTTCAAATTCATTTATATTTCAAACGTATTTTAACTAATCTCTTTTTTCCTGAATCCTTTTTGAATTTAGTGTTTATATATTCCATGCATAGGTTACCCTGTACTAGGAACAAAAGATATTACTAACTAGGCTTGATTGGTGGTTATCAGTATGATAAGATTACAAGGGAGATCTGCTTAAGTGTGATGAGTAATGACTTTGAATTTATCCTAAAATTATTTCAAATGCAAAAAAACTAGAAAACTTTTTTAAGGGGAATGTAATTATTTTTTGAACTGTAGACTTGTAGTCATCATATATATACAATATTAGTGAAATTAGCAAAATAAACATACAGGAAGGAACCTTTTTGAACAGAGCTCAGAAATTGCAGTTTTTGCAAAATGTCCAAAATCCCTATATATACTGAATTTTAGAAACAATATTATCTTTGAAAGAGCAAATCGTTTACTCTTCCTTTAACGTGGATATGAATGATAAAGCTACAGAAGTAGTTTGCTATAAAAGCAAGATTGCTACTTCAGCTGACTTTGCAAATTATATTTATATATGACAAGATGCTTTTGAATTCTTGAGCAAAATTCACCCTTGACTCATTAAGATTATGCATGATAGCACCACTAGCTTCCCGAAATGCTATTGAATAATTCTTACAGTCACCTATAACACAGAGTGTGGCACTTTTTTATATAACCAATACGTTTTTATAATACTAATAATAGCACAAGACAGTTTAGTAGAATGTTAACATGTCACTAGCATAATGTTGCTGTATATCTCCTCTCAGTAGACCTTTCCATCCACTAAACTTTACTCAGTTATTTGAATGGAACTAACCAAACCTGCAAACTTTTTTTGTAATGATCAGTACTGTCGGAACTAATAAAACCTACTTATTAACGTTACACTTTCTACTACATTCAGCAGTTTTTATGTAAATCACTTTTATTATTGCATACATGCTGAGCCCCTTGAAATTCATGTCTGAGAAAGATTGTGTGTTAACAAAACCTAGAATAAATCTGTAATTTGACTCATTTTCAGCAAACATCAATTTTACCAGGCTTGAGGCAAACTTTTTTTCTGCATCGTTACTTTATTTTGCAAACAACTGCGATGATAGCATTGCCACTAGAGGTGCAGTGGCAAAGGAATGCAGAAGATGTTGGTAACATATACCTGAAACTGTCCCCGATAGGAGCGGCGATCTTCATTCTTAAACTCATGAAGCTTCTGTCCCCAAAAGTACAACACTACTGTCTATGGAGTAAATACCGAATAAACCTCCATATATCAAGTGCAACACAATTCATGATTCACATGGGGGTTACTGACAAAACTTGACAGTGGAAGCTCTGCCTTTTGTCAATTTTTGTCAATCTAAGGCTTTACTATAACACAAAGCTGTTCTTACTTTTACTTATGATAACTTTTGACTGCATTAGAATTTCAATGAAATTCCAAAGCAGTCAATATGAGCATTTCATAAATATTAAATTTTTCTGAAATGCTCATCAATATTTTTAGGTGATGGGGCCTCTTTACTAATACCACATAGTGTTGGGTATTTCTGTGGGTGCACAATTTTAATGCATTGGAGTGAAGGTTTATTTGGAAATTAACTCATACTGGAACCGTTGCAAAGCCACTGCCGCAGAGACATATTAGGAATGGGAGATGGATTACTGTAGGATCTGGTAGACTTAGAGTTGTGGATAAAAGGCATATTGCACATCCTGTTGCTCTACATAATTCATTTTCAGCACTTTCAGAGTGTAATGGTGCTATGGAGACAGGCTCAGGCACCAAGTCCAGTGGTGTTATGAGACAGGCTCAGGCACTGAGTGTTGTGGTGTTATGGAGACAAGCTCAGGCACCGAATGTAGTGGTATTGTGGAGACATTCTCAGGCACTGAGTGTAGTGGTATTGTGGAGACTGGCTAAGGCCCTGAGTGTAGTGGTGTTGTGGAGACAGGCTCAGACACCAAGTGTTATGGTGTTATGGAGACAGGCTCAGGCACTGAGTGTAGTGGTGTTGTGGAGACAGGCTCAGGCACTGAGTATAGTGGTATTGTGGAGACAGGCTCAGTGAGGCTCATGGTGAGGCCTGATAGAAAGCAGTTGTTGTTGGGGGATTCTATCATAAGAGGTGTGGAGCTGGACAATGGTGGTCTTGTGAGATATCTTCCCCGAGCTACTGCTCACAGAGACAGGAGATAAAATTTGTAATATTGTTAAGCAAGCAAAGCAGGAAGGGGAATTGGATGTACTTGTCCATCTAGGGACAAATGACTTGGCTTGCAATGAGGTTTCAGGGGTAAAGGAAGTTTTTTGTGTTTTTGTCAATGATATACGGCAGGTTGCTTCCACACTGTCATTCTCTGAAGTTCTGCCTGTGCATAACACTCAAAACGACAGGCAGATGCATATTAGGGACTTTAACTTGTGGCTTGCTAAATGGTGTTGGGAGCAAGTACAAAAAAGATGGTTTGCATCTTTCTCAAAAGGGAACAAATGTTCTCAGTGAGCAGTTCAGAGGTTTTGCTAGGATGTATTTAAATGAGGAGGGGGGGGGCAAAAGGGTGATAAAACATCAATCCAATTGCCCCCCACAACAAGGACAACTAGTGCCTGCAGCAAGTGTGTTGAAAAATGATAAACTTAGAGTGATGTCTACAAATGCTCACAGTTTAGGGAATAAGATCCACGAACTTGTGGCAATAATGGCAACTGATAATATAGATTAAGTCTAATGAGAAAAATGACTAGGACATAGCAATACCTGGGTACTTTTTATATAGAAAAGAAAGGAATTGCAAGAAAGGGGGAGGGTGGCCCTGTTTGTCAAGGATAGCATAATAATCTAGCCTAATAAAAGTTAGTGAGGCGAACATAGAGTCCGTTTGGGTTACGTTAGAATTTGGTAATCGCACAGTAACTCGTGTAGGTGTGATTTATAGGCCCCAAGGACAAATAGAAGAGTTAGATAATCTACTAGTTGAGGAAATAGCTAAAATGATAATGAAGGGGGAAGTTATCATCATGGGTGACTTTAATCTTCCTGATGTGAACTGGAAATTCAAAATAGCTGCTTGTGCCAGGAGCACACATATTCTAAACTCCCTACTGGGAGTGTCTCTAAAACAAGTCGTTGAGGAGCCAACTCGTAAAGAGGCCATACTAGATTTAGTGTTAACAAATGTAGATTTGTTATCAGATATTACTGTAGGTGAAAGTTTAGGATCCGGTGATCATCAGTCAGTGTGGTTTAATATAAGAATAGTGACCACACAAAAACAAAAGTTTTAGACTTTAGAAAAACAGACTTTTCTAAAATTTGAATATGTGTAAAGGATTCATTATCAGACTGGAGCAGTGTAATTGGAGTCCAAGAGGAATTGGATTATTTAAAATGTGCACTGCTGAAGGCAACAGAAAATTGCATTAGGCTTGTCAGTAAAATTTAAGAAACCACTGTGGTACTCCGCAAATGTAGCCAAAATAGTAAAAAAAACAAAAAGCTAGCATTCAGTAATTATAAAAAAAAAAAACAGAGTGAGGAAGATAGACAGATCTATAAGATTAGGCAGAAAGAAGCGAAGAGCTTCCAAATCACACACAAAGAGAAAATAGCACAGTCAGTAAAAAAGAGGACAAAACATTTTTTATTTACATAAATGAGAAAAGAAAAGTAAAACAAGGATTAGTTAGATTAAAAACAAAAGAAGAAAGGTATAGAGAAGAGGATCAAGGTCTAGCTGACTGCCTAAATGAATATTTTTGTTCAGTATTTACAGATGAAAATAAAGGAAAGGGGCCTCTGTTAGAAAAAAGGACACATTAGTCATTTGTTTAATGTGAGTTTACAGAGGAAGAGGTTCTATTTCAACTGTCAAAAGTAAAGACAAATAAGGCAATGGGACCTGATGGAATACACCCAAAGTTATTAAAAGAGCTTAGTGGTGTACTAGCAACACCATTGACAGATTTATTTAACCAATCAATGTTAACAGGAGTAGTCCCAGAAGATTGGAAGTTAGCAAATGTTCTGCCCATTCACAAGAAAGGTAGTAGGGAGGAGTCGGGCAACTATAGGCAAGTAAGCTTTACTTCAGTAGTGGGGAAAGTAATGGAAACCATGTTAAAGAATAGGATTGTTGAACATCTAAAATCACATGGATTTCAAGATCAGAGACAACATGGGTTTACTTCAGGGAGATCATGCCAAACTAATCTTATTGATTTTTTTAATTGGGTAACTAAAATAATAGATCAGGGTGGTGCAGTAGACATTGCTTACCTAGATTTCAGTAAGGCTTTTGACCCTGTTGCACATAGAAGGCTTATCAATAAGCTGCAATCTTTGCAGGGGCTGAGTGACAGGCAACAGAGGGTTGTAGTCAATGGAGTATATTCGAAGCATGGTCTTGTCACCAGTGGGGTACCTCATTTTTATTAGTGATATTGCAGAAGGTCTTGATGGTAAGGTATGTCTTTTTGCTGATGATACTAAGATATGTAACAGGGTTGATGTTCCAGGAGGGATAAGCCAAATGGCAAATGATTTAGGTAAACTAGAATAATAGGGCAGAGTAAAGAATATTTGATAGAGTCCTAACCTCAACATCTGAGGAAAGAGAGAGAGGACATAGTCTTAAATTAGAGGGGCAAAGGTTTAAAAATAATTTCAGGAAGTATTAATTTACAGAGAGGGTAGTGGATGCATGGAATAGCCTTCCAGCTGAAGTGGTAGAGGTTAACACAGTAAAGGAGTTTAAGCATGCATGGGATAGATATAAGGCTATCCTAACTATAAGATAAGGCCAGGGACTAATGAAAGTATTTAGAAAATTGGGCAGACTAGATGGGCCAAATGGTTTTTACCTGCCGTCACATTCTATGTTTATATATGTATAGGTTATTATGGCTTGATGTTGATACAGCAGGGGTGGTGTTTATAAGTATAGATCCACGTAATATTAAAATGTTGGAGTCGTAATGGGATTTTTAGAAAACATTAAGGTTTAGGGTTGGCTTTAGGGCATGGTATAGGACTGGTTTTAATAGAGGCTTAAGACAAAGTCTGCAGAAGAGGCTTTAAAATGTACCCTTGGGCTAGTCACCTAGTTTGCTTACACACCCCTGTCAACTTGCTTCAATGCAATCTTCAAACTAATTATTATCCTAGCATAACATCACATATTTTACCAATGTATTTTTTACACTTTGAACTGGTGTATGATTTTACACATTTCTGCCTCTCACCACCAGTTATTGAAGATATAAACTGTTAGATGATTCACAGTTAAAGGATCTACAGAATTAACGATTAACCAAGACTAAAGAATATTGTTATTCAGATAAGACGTGGTTCAAAAATACTCATAGAAACTTTGACCACAGTAAGGTATTTATGGCAGAAGAATTGAAATTACTTTGTTGCTAGATTATTTGAATTTGTTTTATTAACACCTTTGTTGCCACAGAAGACAACACATTAACAGGGTTATTTATGAATTGTCTGGAATTCAATGTGAATTTTAAATTTAAGGCCAAATTAGATAAACATAATGCGTAGTTGACTTGGAGATCTTTCCCAGTTCGGCTACATTGACCTTAAATGTGGAATCACTTTCTTAAAGAACTACTATTAGCTAATTACTGTTGTTCTAATGCCTCTTATAAGCTATATTTATGTTGCTTGATAACACATTGCCAGATCCATTTTCTTTTCTTGTTACCCTGGTGTTTTTAATTGCCATTGTGGTAGGCACTGATGATTCCATTTGTTTATTTTCGCAAACAGCCAGCTGTGAATGAAAAAGCAAATCGTCATACAGTTGAGCTAGACTCTTCATCACTCAAACATCGACAAGATTATGAATGTGAACTTGGTGTCACTGACTCTTCAGTGGTTACTAAACACCAATTTATTAGTACAGAAAGTCAACAAGTGATAAAAAACGAGTCAGTGGACCCACCGGATCTTATGGTATTTGAGACTGAACAAAATGCTCGTGATGTAGAAGGTAATATACTTGCAGACAGAGCTGAAGTGAACATCTATCAGCAGAACGATAACTTCTTACTTAGTCAGGATACATTTAGCATACCTAAACAAACAACTTCTACAGGTGCCCCAGAGTCAACCATGGACAGAGTTACAAGAAGTCAAATTTTTTCCCTGTCCTCAGCAGGAAGTACATATACCTTACACGAGGAGCCAGATCTTAATGTCATCAGTGAACACAGCCAAAGTACAGAAGGTAAACACAAGAGCACTCCAGATGGAGAAAGAAAGTTAAAGTTGCTGAAGGAGGAAAGTCACTTTGGTATAAGGGCTTATCTCCCTGAGACCAGTCCAACCAAGTTATTTGAAAACGGTGATGATGATGATGTTCAAGCTCGGTCACATGAGTTTACCCAGGAAAAAGCATGGGAGCTAGAGAAACAGAGGAGAGATATCATAAAGAAACAAGGACAAAGGAAAAGCTTGGACGTGGATGAGATCATCATTCACAGAGATGTAATGGACACCTCAATTTCAGCCACTGACCTCAATGAAATAGACAGTGATCATATGAAAGTGAATGTGGACACAGAGCAAATAAATTTTGAAGCTGCCAGAAAGCAATTTTTGATGTTGGAAAAAAAGCGTAATAGCCTCCCGATTAGTCCTAGACCACAGTCAAAACCCCCCCGCTCTAAATCATTTTATGTAAGTGACTGGAATTCAGAGATGCAAGGGATAGAAGACACGATAACAATACAATCTGAAGTGAGAACACAGTCGAATGAGCCTCCACAAACTCAAGCAGTTAGCTCCAGTGAACTGCGAAAACAGTTCTACAGGGAATTGTCAACTGATGACAGAGATGGTGAAACAGAAGATAATTCAAAAGGAGTGAACAAAGTAGAACACTCCCAAGAGAAACCAGAGCAAATTCCAAACCCCAGCAATGAGACACCTATTGAAAGGGAGATTCGCCTGGCACTTGAAAGAGAGGAAAGTTTACGTAAAGAGAGGGGTATTCAAGGTGTGGGGGACACCAAAGAGATGGTAGAAATACTCAAAAACCCAGTGCTTTCACAGTCCTCTGATACAGCTATCCAAAAAAAGAGCAAAGAGAGAACTCGTTCCATAAATTTCCTCCAACGAGAGATTGAGAAGGATGCTCAACGGGAGGCTGTCCTTAGAAATGAAGGGAAAGTGGCAGGACTTTATGATAAAGGTAATGTCCAAGAGCTAGATGAACGTAGAAAGGTATTTGAGCAGCCAGATGATATTCCTGTTCAACCACAGCTAGGGAACACAAAACGACTCTCTAAAGCAGCAACAATTGATTTAGGAACAAGTGATATTGCAGGCCAAGCAGATAGTACGCAGACTTCTGAAAACACCAACTGGACTGTCTTGGATGCACCTCAACCCTATAGTGCAAGAATAAACTACAAACCAACACCACTAAATATCTCTAGATACAGAAGGGCAAGTGCGGATAATATTCTAGATTTTAACCCACCTACTCATGCTTCATCAGGAGTGGATATTTCAGCAGAAACACAGATTCTGCAAAAGGAGAATTTCCACATTCAGCCCTGGAAATTCCGACAACACGGGGATGAAGAGAAAATGCAGAGCCCAAAATGGACAGAGAAAACTCAAGATAATGCAAACCCTGAAGAGATATACAAAACTACACGCCTGAGACCTGTATCAAGTGTGATAGAGAAAGAAATTCAGCAAACATTAGAGAGGGACCTTGAGCTAAAGGAGCAAAGGAGGAAAAGTGAAGTACCGTATGGTATCACATCTACAGATGGTCAGATCACCACCCCAGTCAATGGGCACAACCAATATGGAAAAACAGTGTTAAGTTCAGGTAGGCAGTGTTTGTTACTGCAAGTCTATCTTCTTAATTTCTATATAAAAAGCTTTGTGTATAAATAGCAACTTAATCAAATATCACCTTGTGATCTACTTGTAATATTAAGTAGTGCTTAAAGAATGAAAATCTCATGACTTCTATTAAAATTGTCAAATGATTTAATCAAATTTCTAAAACACAGCAGTATAATTACACTACTGCTAAATAATTATGGTGATATTAAGGTGGCATGGGATATCGGCAAGATGTATTGTTGCATTTTTAGAATTTTAAGCTTTACATGTACATATCAATATAATTATTTTGTGATTTAAAAAAAACTATATATTTGATTTGACTTTTTAAAACAACCCGATTTCAATGGAAAAACAAACCTTATGATTTTAAGAAGGATTTCATTATTAATTACATTTTTTTTTTATCCTCTGATTTATTTATATATTCTCTTATTTGTAGGTGGCTCAAACAGATGGAATTCCTCCAGTCAAGGTTCTGCATCTTTTGTCTCACCTATACAAATGTTCAGGCCAAGGAAAACTCCCAAGTTTGTTGTTTCTGAGTCAGATTCTGACAGATTCAAGAGATACGGGGATGTAAGTGCTTTGCCCGACAACAGAGTGCATCTATACAGCTGAAATAATTAATTTTACTGCAGAATAATAGTACTTTATTAGTATTTGAATAATTTAATGTAAATAAATTGTTTATATGCCACCTTTCTTCTCAGCTATGATTTCAAGTATTAAGGGACCTGATACGTTTTAACATGCATATGTATTTTCTTCTGGTGAATTGTGTCGGGGTGGTAATAATTTTAAAGCATCTCTGTCACCTTCTGGGGTCTTTGCATATTTTGCAAAGACTGCAATGATGACATCAAGGTGTGCAGTGGCCCAGGTACGCAGCAGAGGTCCCCCGCAGGAGCCACCATTTTAAAGCTTCAGATCCTGGTCCTTTATCCACCAGGAGCCCATGTCAATGCTGTACTCTCACACATGCGTAAGAGTACAACACTGAGGTCTATGGAGGATCCCATAATACTACGGAAACTGCCAGTATATATACTGATATTTTAGAGACATTTGGGGAAAGTGACAAAACTTGACGGTGTGTCAAGTTTTCTCAACTTTAGAATTCTTTTATATATGATATCTTTTGATTGTGGGAGAGTTTCAATGAAATTCCAACACAATATTGAAGTGCGTTTCAGAAAAGCTTTGTCTTTATGAAATGCCTCTGTTTTCTGCTTTTTTATGTTTTTTTGTGGAGGAGAGTTGCTTTGAAAACCAACAATTATTCTACGTAGTATTCCCTGCTTCAATGCAGGGAATCAGGGAAGATCAGAGTGATTAACTGTTGGCTTTCAAACACTGCCTGACCCAAGGTGCATGTATACGGCTGAAAGATTCTGTAGTATACTAAAGGTAAGGATGATTTGTTTTGTTATTTTTCTCATTTTGTTAACATATACTTCATTTAAAAAAAAAAAAAAAAGCAATTTCCTTTCAAAAATTTATGACAGAATTATTATATTAAAAAATAGTTTGGAAGTGAAAGTTGTCTTTTAACACTTTGGCATTATCAATATTAACTGTGTCCAACATGGATGAAATTGATTGGCTAAGTATGTTTGATGAGTTGACGTATTGCTTAAAGTGTCCCATCAATCCGCCTGCAGGCTACTACGTGTTGGGCCAAAACAGTAGGAAAGATCTGGAAAGACACGGCTGAGATAATGTTCTTTCAAAAGCTAAAATCATCCTCCTCTGAGACAGTCTATATTTTAAATTACTTAAATAAGTCAGTTAATCATAGTGGTAATGAGTTAAACAAGTTTCCAACTTATACCAGCCATTACTTGCTAAAATAGCAAAAAGTAGGGACAGCATCCCAATTGTAAAATGTCACCATTAGTAACAGGGATTTACCAGCAGATGTTACTGTTAACCATTTCCACAGAGTATAATGAGACCACATGGTTACCAACCTTGCTATTACATTTTACTGCGTGGGAACCTACAAAATGAAGTTAACTATTAAACTCTCCCTGCATCATATAGAGAGCCAGTCAGTGCGCACATACACAGGGAAAACACACATACACACTCACTTACTTAATTGACAAGTCTTCTAAGCCAACCAATCACGGTCATCTGACTGACATTCAAAACTTGGGAAGGCCTAAAATGCTCAGACAATGTGGAGTTTTCAATGAGCTCATATTGATGATTTTTGTTTAATTTTTAAGACCAGATTTTTTTTTTGATTTTTTTTTAACTGTTTTAGCAGCCTATGATGCATGGTCATGTAACCTTTTTTAAGGGGCAAATAAAAATTATTACCCAAAGAAAACTTCATATTTGTATTGTAAAAATATTTATTTTTCACAGGATTTTTTACATTAGTTTAGACTTATTGGGCCCCTCACTATTATGAGTGTGAGGGGATAGGCAAGGACATATTTGTGAGAGGGGCTGTCTAGTGCTTGGGCAATCATAGCTTCCCAGGTGGATAGACAAGGGGGAGAGATGTCCACTTAGTTTTGCCTTGGAAACTATGCATCTATTTATCCACCTTAAACAGGCACTAAAGGGGCCCAGGGCACTGAGCATCAACTGAGTTGCACTATAGTGGAACTTATAGGAGCTCAGAAGACTGGGTAACCTCTTGGCCCCATTACCAGAGCAGTTATAGGGACCATTTCCAATGAAAGAAGGGACCACTTGTTATTGGAATCAAAGGACACCTCATTATTTTTTAATTATTATTTTTGTTTTGTGCCTTTAATGCCACAGCTGAAAGCAGCATATTGCAATGCTCTCTGCCGTGACACAGAAACAGATGTTATGGGTTTGTGTTGCTATTGTAATTGATTATTACATGCACTTTGTTTTTAATTTTGTGATTGCTACCAGTTGCTGTAGACCTAAGAGTGTTAGGCCATTAAAGGAAGATTCCAAGTGCTGTACTGTTTATGATGCCAAGAGAGGACTGATTTCCCACCATTTTGAGGAGTCAGCCATTTTAGAACAGTATTGGCCAGAACTGTTTTAACTGGAAGCACTCTGTCTGATCAAAGCGCGGCAGTGCTCAGGAGGCTTAATTGATATGCCTAAGGAGCTTCCCGCTCTCTCTCGGAAGTAGTAGAGGTGAGCAGTGGCACCCTGAAGACCCTTAATCTGTTCTATGGTGTGATGTAGTGATTTTATTGCTTTGAGTGTTTCTTTAAAAAATAACAACAGTATCTAATAATTGCTGGCTGTAGTTAATTATACAAACATATTTAGTGGCACAGTAAAAAACAAGGTTAATCTCTTGCTGCCTTAAAGAAACACTCAGGGTGTCATAACAGCCACTGAACCCCCCATGTAAGTAGTCAAACTGTTTGCTATTGGTATGACAACATATGTGTGGTTTGCCAAGTGCCTCCTCTACTTGGAGCCAGAAGCTTTCTGCTCTGTGCTACCCCAGCAGTGCTCAGCTGTGCTATCTGGCAGACACTGGCGGTGCCATTTTGCTCTTGCAACCATAACCACTATTGTGTGCTGAAGTGGTTATGGTGCTTGGAGTGTTCTTTTAAATAAAATCCTTTACCTATCTTACTGGTGTTCTTGCATAGGAGAGTGTACAGATGCACATTTTATGTGCATTATTAATGTTGGTAGCTTTTTTGTAGCCATTTGTTTTGTGTTGGTTAAATCAAAATGTGAGCTTTGTACATGACGGACATGTTATGCAAATCTCTTTGTGCCACTGCACACTGTCCTACAGGGTGTGGTTTATGGTCTGTGTCTATACATTAAGATCTACATTCTGACGACCGATAGTTCTTAATTCTTTTTTTTTTTTCATTAGTATGCCGGTATTGATTCAAGTGACGATGTTAACACAGAGGTAAGGAAGAAAACATATTTTTTCCTATAATGTCTAAATTTCCCTTCTAAAGGGAAACACAGTTTTAAAACATATAATTAATATCTGTAAAAATGCATTTTGCTAAAATTTGCACAAATATCTCTTAACCCACCAAAAAACATACCTTTCATTACCTATTGAATTGGCATCTGCAATTAATGAAGATCCACCTCCTTTTTGTCCATCACTGAATTCCTTGGTAGTGTTGGGTATTGCCCAATCAGATGCTTATCATAGACAGGCATTGAGGACCATATGAGTGGTTGGGAACCATAGAGATGAGTGGTTTTATTGAGATTGAGAGATTTGTATAAAAACATTCACACTTTAGATCTGTATTTTCTGCCATTTTAATGTATTAACCTTGTATTACATTTTATCTGTCCATTTAACTGCAGACATGCTATACAAAAGTTATTGTGGATAACAATTTTTAGAGTGATCATTTGACTTCACTGTAGGACACTAAGTAAAGTGTGCATGACATCTTGTAAAATGCACAAAATGAATTTTGTCACTAAGAGTTCCCAAATTTTCTTGCAGGACACACATTGATTAGCTCCCTTAGTGTCATGAATTATCCCTTGTTATTGTGACAAGCTTGGTTTTCATTGTTTCTGAAAGTAGGGTTAAAAATTTCAAGTTTATCCCTAAATGTTACTCAATACTTAAAACATAAATTTTGCTGTGCGACCTCTTAGAATAATAAAAAAGCAGCAGCGAATTCACCCACTCCACCACCATGAACAGCAGTACCCAACAATTCGTAGCATGTAGGTGCACATTGACAAGGCTATTGGCTAAATAGAATTTTACAAAGTGAAATCAAAAACCGAGCTAACTATTTTCTAAATCTGCTTGACATATGCATGGTCGCCTTGTCGGCATCTGCTTAAACCCCACCAAATACCCATTTCCAATAAAACACTGACAACATAGTTTTGGCAAAATTATATCACAGCTTTATTTGATACTTAACATAAAATATAAAGGTCATTGTCAACAGCAGGCCAACGTTGGCCTGCACAACTACCATCCTGCAGTTTACAATTTAACCCCTTGACAATGACCCACCCCCACATAACATAATACCCAAACATTGTAACATTTAGCTTAACATTGAACATGACCATTGCCACCAAAGGGCACCATCCATTGCCACCAAAGGGCTCCACAAGTGTAGGGGCATACCGAGACACCCCTACACGCCCCGGTTCGGAGCTACCTACAAGCTCGAACCCACCAAACCAGTTAAAAGGCCTACCTATTAGCCCTGAACTCCAAACTTTTTCCCCATCTCACTCTTTTCTCCCCCCAACTTTATTCCCCATCCCCCGCCGACGTGACCAAACGGGAAACACCTGAAAGCAAAGGGAGACAACAACAGGTAAGTGCAACTTAGATTAAAGTGATCCCTAGTTCTAAAATGGCCACTACTTATACTCCCCTTATAACTCCACCCCACACCACTTCCTTAGACCAATCACTGACCACTGACCCTTAGATGCCTGTCTCCTGGCAATGTCAAGGCCCACTCCCCTTAGCTACGCTGTTCCATGGGCTACAATTTTGTAAGGCCACAGTAACTGGACTGAAAGTATATAACTGACTTAGAGAGTTTTTCTATTTCAGATAGCATGACCTTTAAGGGACACTCCAGACACCTCAAGTACTTTAGTTTGTGAGAAGAGTGTGTCCTATTTTTTTCATTTTACATAAAATGCAAATTTCAATAGAAATTGGCACTTTTTATAAATTAACTTTGTTACACCCCCCTGGCTGTCAATCAAACAACCGGTCCTGTTACTTCCTGGTTTGTTTAACTCAGTGGAGCTAAACTCAAAAGGCAGGTAATTGTATCTGTGCACCTGCCTTGCAATGTCTTCTCATTGAGCTGCATTGGGAAGTCTCTGACAGCCACAGAGAGTCTAGGCTGGGGAAGAAGGGAGATCTTGTAAAAGCTGAGGACAAGAGTTCTGCAGCTTTTGCAAGCTGTTTTTAGATATACCCCCAATGCATAAAAAAATGCATAAATGAATGCATGCATGTTTTTATTGGTGTTGTAGTAAACAGTGGGAGTTGTATTTAGCAGTTGAGTCTCCCTTTACATTTTAACTTCTCTTTGAATACTCACTTTAGTCAAATAAGTCAATAATGGTTTTTAATAAATAATCCTGTCTGAGATGCAGCATGCATTGTAAAACTTCTTGTGGACTCTTTGAGGCCTTTGCAACTATGTCACAATGAACAAATGAAGTGGATATAACATTTCAACTTTATTTAATTCTAACTTTTATGAATAACCCTGACAATGTTTGACCTGCAGATTTCCATAGTCTCTTCAGAGTTTTAACATAGCATAGTAATAATATAGGTTAAAAAAAAAAAATCCTGTCCATCAAGTTCATTCTTTCTGTGCCCTTGTCTGCTATGTAACCCTCGTATTACTGGGAGATCACGCAGCCTCAGTGCTCTCTCTAGAGCAGAAAAAAATGGATTTCCCACCAGCCATTGTCACAGTGACTGCCTTGTGGGTGTTAGAATTGGAAAAAGGAAGGGAGACTTAAGTTATATTTATCAAAGGACATCATTGACTATAGAAATTAATAACCGAGTAGCAGTACAGTGTCATAACAGAAAATGTCAAGCAATGGGATCAGCCCTAATAGGCCACTCTAAAGAAACAAGTCCGCTACATCTTCATGTAGTGGTTATGGTGCACATACTTTGTCCCTTTTTTTTAAAAATGAAAAACATTATCAACAAGTTTTTTGTTGATAAAGAAGCAATAAAACAGTTACTTTGTAAAATTAGATATAAAAAAAAAAAATACAAAATTATGACAGAAAATTACATGACAGGCGCACAGTCGGATTTGCCGGCATATGCGCTAACCTTACCCAAACCCCCATTAAAACACGGACACAGGTTATACTGTTGGAAATAATTCGACCACAGCTTTATTAAATTATTAATAAAATAATTAAGGAATAACAAAGAGGGTCATTGCCAACAAATTATTAAACGTTAACATCCCCCATATACATAACATACCCCTAGCAATGACCCCACAATAATAACAATAGATAATCTAAATAACATGTTAATACAGAAACTGGCCACCCAATTTGACCACATTTCCACCAGGTTAAATTGTAGGGGTGTACCGAGACACCGCTACCCACCATATCCATTGTATCGATTGTAGGGGTGTACCAAGACACCGCTACCCACCATATCCATTGTAGGGGTGTACCAAGACACCGCTACCCACCAGTTCCAGTGTAGGGTGTACCAAGACACCACCACTCCCCCAGGTTCGGAGCCGACGGGCTTGAACCTACCAACCACGTGCAACACTGCCCAATCCACACTAAACCTCAGGATGCCCACTTTCTCCTCCATCTACCCTCCGATTTAACCAGGCCATTCCCCGCCGCTGTGAAAAAACGGGAAATCAACTACCCTAACCAAATACAGGGAGGGTGGGAGGGACAACTGACAGGTAAGCTTAGGTTCAGTTAAAATGGCCACTTCCCATAATGGCTGGTATTACTACTCCCCTTATGGCTCCGCCCTACCCAGTATGCTAGCTGTCACTAACTTCCTGTGGCTGCTTTGCCTACCTCCTGGCTCTGTCAAGGCCTATTCCTCTTAGCTGCGCTGATCCATGGGCTACATTTTGCATAGAACATGCTTCTTTTGGCTGCAAGACTGTAACCGAGTAAACTTGCAGAAGCCAGACACAGAGAGATGGATGCAGGTTTTCAGGAAGTAAGAGGTCTTTATTAACATACCGATCGGGTCTCAGATGAACTAACGTTCCAAAACAGGTCTGAGGGCAGAACACATGGAGTACATGCTTTTTATAGAACTATAACTCCTCCCATTAATAGCTCCACCCGCACATACCCTTAACCAATCGGTGGACAGGATTTGGATTTCCTTATATGGGCAGACCTCATGGCTCATCCGAAACAAAGGAGAAAGGAGTGTGATTTCAGTTCCTGCATTCCTGCACATGCTCAGTACATTGATGACAGTATCTTAGCTACGTGTAACTAACTAACTGATACAACATATACATATGCCACGTGGAAATCTCGGCCTACTAAATTTACATTTCACCGATAATTCCATCACAAGAATAACAGACATGTACTTCCTCTTTTTGACTTCCAAAAATCAACACAGTCCCTTTAAGTTAGGTGAAGGTGTAAAACCAAAACATTGATGCCATTTTCACTTGCGTATAGCAATAAACCAATAAACATAGCAGCCGTACCTCTTTAATTTTTTTCTGTCTAAAATTACATTGTCTGACAGAGGAACATTTGTTGACAGCATTTGGATCTGATTAATTTACATTCGTATAGGCATATGTGTTGTATCTTGTTGGACCATGGAATTGAAAGACTCATCTGTAAAGCTTCTATCAGTCATCAAGTGGGCTTTTGTTTAACATTTCTACTTTTATAACGTGTCTGAAGAGAAAACACAAAGACTGACCTTCTTGTTCTGTTCCTCAGATTGTGGAGTCTACACGAGTGAATCGACACAAGAACACAATGGCTTTGCGTTGGGAAGCAGGAATTTATGCCAACAATCCAAGTGATTAGATCCTGAAGTCTGAACACAAATGAGACACTTCTGCACAATGCATGTTAAACACTGAGACATTTCATATATGTTTTACTTATTGATCTTATCCGATGAAGGGACAAATATTTTTCTGAACTCAAGTTGTTTAAGGTCTTTGCTTTTCAATTTTAGGCCTTAAAGGGGACTGGCCCTAGGATGTGTCTGCTTTTGTACGGGTGTGTATGAGATGTTTTCAACTCTTATTTCCGTTGAAGACTAGTTGAAAACGAAAAAAACTAAACTATTTTTTAATTGTTGAGATTGGCTTTGACTAATTCTCCTGAACTGTTAGATTAAATGAATAATTCTTACTGAATTTTTTTAATTATTCAAAATCTTTAAACCTGCCTCGAAACTGCTGATTTAATTTTTAAACAAATAGATTGCCTTATCATTGATGAGGCTGCCAATGAAACCATTGATTTGATAAACTATTGTTCTAAGTTTGTGGCTTCCTGACCTGTACCTTTACTAGTAGGGTCATTTACTTAAGTGAGAATTTAAAATGAATTTGAAATTTAAGGCCAAAGTAGCCAAACTGGAAAAATAGCAGAGTTTAAGAATTTTTCTTGTTTGACTATTTTGATCTTAAACTTGAAATGTACTTTCAATTCACTTTGGATTCTCAATTTAAGGAATTACGCTGTTAGATTTACACTTACCTGTCTGAGTTAAAGGAAAACTGCCATCATTTTTATTACTATTTAAAATAAAAGATTAAATGTATTATAGCCTCTGTGTGTATTATTTTTTATTATAAGAAAATATTTATTTTCAATGGGTCCCATGGCTTAGCATTGCTCTGTGGGGACCACCACATTAAGCCCTCATTGGTCAGAATCATGGCTTATCTCACCAAAGAGCTTCTGTGTTCACAAATCCTGATATCCTGACTAAATGCCAAATATCTTTTTTTTAAAAATGGACTCTGGTACAATTTCAGACCAATAACATTTTTTTTTTTACTAAAGTGAGAATTCAAAGTGAATGTTAAATTTAAGGTAACAAAATACAAACTGGAAAAATTATGTAAGCCAGCTATACTTTAGTACACCTACATTGGACTTCAATTTGAAATTCACTTTAATTCTCTTTGAGTTCTCACTTAAATAACCCTATAAATCATAAATGGTCTTACTATAAAAGTTTTTCGTCTCACCAGTGAGTCTAAAGATGGCCTCCCCCACGATTCAAGAGTAACTCTGGAGATGCACCAAAAAGAGTTCACATACATATTTATTCCAAAGTACACAGCGTGGCTCCATAATATCTAATATTTTATTTTCAGAAATAATAAAAATGTTGACAGTTTTCCTTTAAGCACCTCCTTCAGATGTTTAGAGCAGTCACATCTATTCAGTCACATAGGAAACTAAGCAATGGTCAGAGCTGACCCAACATGTGCTTCCTACTCCTAAGAAAGTCTATGAGGTAAATACTTATATCATTGGTGTTAATCTCGTAGAGAAAACGTTACTATGAAAGTTATTTACTAAAGTAAGAATTGGTCAGAAATTAAAAATGAATGTTAAAGTTAAGGCCCCAATAGTGGAATTGGCAAATTCTCCAAGCCAGCTCTGCTATTATGGCCTTAAATTTGAAATTCACTTCTAATTCTCTTTTCTCACGTTTGTGAATAGCCCTGCATGACTTGATAGGACAAGTAGTATAAGTTAAAGTTAATGTGATTTGGGTTTTTTATTTCTTACCATGTTTAAGAATACAGTGTGGTTTATAGCAACAATAAGCATGCAGCGCCACTAGCCCTGGATTATGTGTTGACTAGGAGACTTTCATGAAAAGGTTAATTTTTGTATGTTAATGGTTTGCGTATGAATAATATGTTTTTATTAATGAATGTTTATTTAACTATCATGTAGTGGAGTGTTGACGGAGTGCATCAAAAAGGATACAGAATAAATAGTGTTGTGGACTTATATCCAGTTGTGAAAAAATGGAGGGAAGCTGGCTTCACTCCACACTTTTAATATTCTAGCCACGCCTCTCCTGAGTACTCAGATACCATTAAATGAAATTTAAGATTTGTCAATTTTATTTTAGTCATCAAAGTCATGTGTTTTTGCATTGTTTATGCAGATAAAATAGCCTTCAGATAATCAAGTTAGCAAGTAAACCCCTTACAGCACTCTGGGTTATAGAAGTACAGTAAACCAGGTTAGAGGGATAATTTGAGCAAGCACCTTAACCACTACTTACCACTGTAGTGCTTATGGTGCCAATAATGTCCTGGTGCCCTCACAGGTTATGTAGTAAAACTACTTGAGCATGGTTTGACAACATACCTAGGATCCGCCAGTTGATGGCCTCCTCTTCTCCTCCTCCAAGGAGCTTCCATTAGCTCTCCCGCAGTTTAGGACCCACTGATTGACTGAGTGCTCTCATCCAATGAGCCAAGCCATGTACCAATAAGCTTACCTCAGTACAAGAGCTTCTGGGGATGCCTGGCGGGGCCTGGTAATTTATCAAACCACTAATCTCTTTCTTCAAACGTGCTACGCTATTGGGCGAAGGTCTTAAAAAGACTTAAATACATTAGGTGGAATAAATGAGTAAAACTCCTTTCTATATGGAATGTTAATTGAGGGTTACTGAAAGTCACCAGATTGTTGTATTAAAGAAATATATGTGAAGCTTTTTACAGAGTGGATAAAGCCACATTTGTGTTGTAAATTTGTTTGAAAAGTACCAGGTGAAGTGTATTTCAGAAGATCGTTGTTAGCAGACAGATTATTTGCGAGCATCCTGTCTTGCAAATTCGGTTGATGTCTAAAATGTTTTGCTTATGCCAGAATTCTCTATGGGACATCCTGGAGATATCCTTCTACTGAGTGGGGAGTCTTGAAAGTGCAAAGGATCTATTGGAAGGTCTTTGCTAGTCTAGTAAGTGGGTGGCTAGGTCCTCATTAACTCTAAACAGTACATTTCTTAGATTTTTGCATATTGGCCAGGGGATTGTCTCAGACAAAAGTACTTATGTGATATGACGTTAAAGACATGGTACTGTGGGACCATGGGTGGGTGATGCATACCGGTTTCAGAAATACATGATAGAAAAAATCCACATGAATAATATTAGTGAATGGAGTTTTATTCCATCAGAGAACAATTAGCACAAGGAGTACCTTGGAAGGATAGGGCTTGCAGTGTGATGGTCCTTTCTGATTTTACATTTGAAGTGTAAAGTTCTAAGTAAAATGCCATACTGAGAGTGAATAATTAACAAGTATATGATTAAGAATAGATGAGGAAACACAGATTGAGTGGGTAAATCTTTTTTCTTGCTTCCAGATTTTTGAAGGCACACTTCTTATAGTCATTGTTTTGTGGGTGGGCTATGTTCAGATTTGTGTTGAATGCTATTTAGTTTTTTTTGCTTGTTTTTTGATGTGTTAATATTTTAGGTGATATCCTTAGATAGCTACCAGGCTGGTATATGAAATATCTTAGTTTTAGGTTAGTTTAGATGTTCCTTAGAGAGTGAAAAATACTGGGTCACATTTCATGGATTTGTGGATATCCTGATTATATTACGTTGCTTGTTAAGCGTTGACGTTGATGTTATAGCATAGTGAAGGTACTGTGATTAGATATGTTCAATAGATATGTATGCGTGTATTAATGCATGTTCAATAGATGTGTAAACAGCCACTGTCCTGTGCAGCTTCCATCAAAATTGAAGAAAACAATGCTGTTAAATAATTGAGTACTGGTAAGGGGAATGGTAAATGAGGTGTCTATAAGGTACACAAAGTATAAGCACATCTCCTTACTAAATGGTCTTCTCCTAGGTATGAGACGAGTGGGTGAAGTTCTATGTTAGTGGATTGCACTGTCATACAAGTTACAATGTTGTTAGGGGAAGTTGTAGATTATTGAGTGACTTATTGCAGCTGTAAATTCTATGTTTGGCAGGAATATGCCTTCTCTATACATTTAAAAAAGTTGCAATGGAAATGGCAAGTTTTATATGTTTGTAGCAACACAGTAATGCTGCAGTTTTCACAATAACAATGGAGAAGAACAATGCCACCAACAGAGGAGGTTAGAGTAAGCATGAGAGTTTTAGGGGAAGTTTGATTGGGGGCTTCAAAGTTCACTTAAGCGCCATAACCTCTGTAATGGTAATCGTGCCGGCATGCCCCTGACAATAACCCTCCAGTTCAGTTGAAAACCGATTTCAAGGGATTTACTAAAATTAAAGGTCCCATATATTGTGGTTGGAGAACTTTTGCATTAGCTCTTGATTTCCAAAATAATTGCAGTAGCAATATCAGTTTTGTCTAAATCTGGGCAACATTCATTGGCTAAATGCATTAACGGATATGATCATCCAGTGAATGTTGTACAAATATGGATGGAATTTTTATTTCCAATGTAAATGTGAGGGCCAGGTCACGGTCATGCCTGGGAAAATCATTTTATGCCAAACCACTTGAAATGGGAACGGTGCTAGGGCCATGCAGACACAATAACCATTGTAGTGTTTACCATTGTAATAATTATGCCTAAAGTACTCCTTTAAATTCAGTGGGGTCATTAACAGTGTTTAGAAGGGCTATGTAGTGTAAGGGGACAAGGTCAGGGACTTGTCAATACCTGCCTTCAAGAGATGAACAGTAATTCCTCACTCTCTCAGCAAGGCTTTGCCCTAACTCATCCAACCCTAACCCTCAGTTACCCTATTCCTAGATAACATGAAGCCTTATTTGCAGGTCACACTGTTGCACTTGGTGCTGTAATGATGTCCGTCACTCTAATATCATATAATAATATTCCCCTGGTCTTTTTAATGCAGCACCATTATAGCGTCACTTTTAAAGATGGGGACTTTTCAAATTTAAATAATGATGTTTTATTTCTAAAACTAATCTGAGGGTTCTAACATATCAGAATAGATTTTCTGTATTTTTATATGTATGGTAAATATATATTAGCACTGGTGGCCATAAAAGGAAGACGATGAAAAAAAAAGTAGGTTATAGATGCATTATCCAGGGGTAAAGGTTATTGGGCAAATAATCTACCAGCTGTTGAATGGACACTATAGTCAACTGAACAACTTCAGCTTAATGAGGTTGTTCAGGTGAAAACTATAGCTCCCTGCAGCCTCTCTCATGTAAACACTGTATATTCTGAGAAAATACACTGTTTACATTGAAAGCTAGGAACACCTCCAGTTGCAGTCACTCAGAGTGAACCAGAGGGACTTCAGAGTTGATTGAGGCATAATATGCCTCCATCCACTCAGATCTGTTGTCAGCAGAGCACAGGGCAACACTGTGCACAGCATCCTGTGATTCAGTATCTCCTCCCTCTGCATGCAGACACTGAACTTTCCTCATAGAGATTCATTGATTCAATTAATCTCTATGAGGAGATGCTGATTGGCCAGGGCTGTGTTTGAATCATGCTGGCTAAATAATTGAGTACTGGTATGGGGAATGATAAATTAGGTGTTTGTCAGTCTCAGCCAGTCCTATGGGGAAGCACTGTGATTTGATCAGGCTACCACATGTCAGCAGACTGCTTGTTTTTCTGAGTCTAACAGCATGCAGATTTACAGCTTCAGGCTTGAATACAGTAAGATTTTTACTATATTTATGGAGGCATGAGGGGCTAGATGGTGGTGTGAACACTATAGTGTCAGGAATACATGTTTGTGTTCCTGACCCTATAGTGATCATTTAAACTAGCGGTGGCTGGCAGAGGTAGATGTGAAATTTCAAGAGATTCCATAAAACAATGTTGCATTAAGCTATATATACAAAAATAATATTCACGATATTCCACATTTTAGCTACTAGCTCACACTAAAATGTTAAAGGGACACTCCACTGCCCAAATATTTTTTTTTTTAAATCAGTATTAGTTGATATACCTCAACGAAAACATGCATGCATTTAATTATGCATTTTTTTCATATGCATTTCATATATAAATCTCTTGGCTGCTGCCTTTGCAAGTCCTCCCCTTCTAACCCCAACCAGACTGTGGCTGTCCAATCACAAACTTCCAAATGTAGCTCAATGAGAAGCCTTTGCAAGTCAGATGCTCTGGGCAATTGCCTGCCACATAAGTGTTATTCCACTGAGCTAAAATACCAGGAAGTAACAGGACCTGTTGCCTGATTGACAGCCAGGGGTTGTAACAAGGTTAATTTATGAAAGGGATTACTGATCTATTGAAATCTACACTTTTTGTAAATGAAAAACAAGACAGACTGTTATACTACTATAATATTTCACAACAGTTCCAATTTAAAGTCCCAGCATAGTATATCTAAATAATTTCCGCTTCATTAGCTTAATGTGACTTGGGTGGACAGCATGAAATATTAACCCTTTCGGTCTTCGCACACAATCCACTTGACCAAGCTAAAGTACTTTTGGTGTGTTAAGTGTTCCTTTAAAACCTCTTATCTGTGTATGGGAGTTGGCGATTGAATCAGTGGGGCAATTGTCCTTCTTCTGATTTGGCTATACATCAAAGGGAACTTTACAAGAACATGCTATACTACCAGGGTTATAAGAAGCTGTATACGAGAGATTTAATTTTTTTAAAATTTCCTGGCTTGATGTGAGAAATAGGTGTGTCCAAGTGTTTGTCACTTGATTGGTGTGCCATTTGGTTTGTGTGACTCATAAGCAAGCAGCCCCATTTTTTATGTTCTATTTATTTAACTGCCACTAAATTTGCAATAGTCAGAATTCTCAGTTTAAAGTTTGGATACAAACATACAGTTTTTATTCTACAGAGTACAAGGGAAAAAAAAAAATAGGTACTGCGAGAGTTATTCACTAAAATGTGAATAATCAGGAATTGCAAATCTGAAAGACAAATAATTGCGCTAGAAACATAGATGACTTTGAGAAATGTTTCAGTTCAACAATATTGGTCTAAAATGAGCAACTCCATAATGTATGGCAACATATCAAATAGAGTTGCAGTAAAGAAATTTCCATGAAACAACCTTCATAGCCAAGTTATTTCCCAAACAATAGATGTCCTTAAATACATACATAATTAATTATTAAGAGGGCAGCTGTTTTTTTTTAGTATAAAAATAAATGCTTTAAAAACAAAAACAAAAAAAACATTCTAACTACTGCTGTAAAAAAATTGATACTTCTATATATACGGTTATGTGTGAAAACAAATGACTATTGTAATTTTTTGTGAGATTTATTTTTTACTATTGTAAAATTTGTCTGTTGAATTGCTGGAATAAAATTGCGGATTTTTGAAAAGAGCCAACCTGATTTTGGGCATTGATTTACTAGTCTCCTCAAATTGCTGAACTGGGAATAACTCATGCGCATTTCCAATCTGATACCCAATCAACCTGACACTTCTTTAAGTCAAGAGAGGCATCTTTCAGGGCTTGCAAGCTCTGGTGGTTTTTACCTTTAAAAACTGGAGTTTTTTTTTTTTTTTATTCTTTATTTTTATTGTGCATGTGAAAACAAACAACATTTAATCTTGCAGTGCCACAACAGCAACCGTAGGCTTAGTATGAACAGTAGATTGACATGGCATGCGGGTAAACAGCACAATTTAATATTATATCAAGCTAAATATTAAAAGATTATGTCAAGGTAAGAGATGCATTTTTAAACAAAAGATTTCAGACAGTTCAAGAATATTCAGACTAGATATTGGTATGAATAATTGCATTTTTTTTGCATAGGGACAACAGGCTTAAACGTATAGCAGTGGTTTAACGCAGGTTAGATTAGATCATGGCTCGGTGTGGTGCTGCACTATATGTAAGCAATGCGACATACGACCATGAGTGGGTGAGCAGTCATTATAGGGTAACCTGGTGCGTATTCTGACATAAGATATAGCTACGAGGGGCTTAGTGCACTGCGGCAGTGTACGTCGGTTTGTTCAGGCTAGACATTGGCAGGCACCTTCGCACTTGTCTAATACAATGAAGGTGATTTGCATACTGTTTGAGGATCAATAAGACATGGGTATGCAGGACATGTCAGTTAGTGATCAGATAATCATTACACAACAACATGGTACATATCTGAACTGTTAAGGTTCGAGAGATATAGCTTAGAGCAATTATAAGGTAAGAATAAACATGTGAACTGAAAAACCAAGCTAATAAACTCCACTGGGTTTTCTTGGGTAAGTCACTCCGTTCCCCAGGTCCTGCGCCGCTGGGCTGCTGTAGGCGATAAGTTGTTAGGCGTGATAGATCTCCCGGGCTTGTGGTTTCTCTGCCTCCGACCTGGTTGGAGAGTTAGCTGAGTCCCGCTAGGAGGGTGGGTCTGGCTTATGCCACGCGGCCAGCCCCGGGCTCTGCATGAGCCAACCATCTGTGTCCTCGCTTCCGGTTCCATGAATGTCCGGTAATGGAATGCCTGGTAAGTGTGGTCAGTCCAGGTGTTGGGCTGCAGTTTGAGGGGTGTCCTCAAGGGTTCAAGGCTCAGGAAGGCTGTCGTGGGAACCAGGCCCAAGCCTTAGGCACGGAGGTTAGACAGTCCAGGATTACTTAGGGGGAGTGATGAGAGAGCCCCCCCAGCTTAGTCCCAGGGTGAAAATTATATGCTTCCCTCCGCAGTGCTGCCCGTGAGTAGTGAGTATAGTCGTGCCTGGTGTGGGCTTTGAGCCATCCATGTTGCAGGCAGGGCACATGTGCTCCGGCGCTATTTGTGTGCTTTGTGGGGGCACACTGCGGAGAGTCAGCTCCCACCAGTGGGGACCGGGATGACCCTTTCGGCCCAAGGTGGAGGGAACGGGGCCTGCGGGACATGTCACAGGGTCTTGGTGCAACAGCAAGGCTTGCAAGCCTTGCAAGTACCACAGGGGCCCCAAAACTCCCGATCTCGGAGCCCGCGGTGGCGCCCACCAGTTCCCATGCACAGTAGTGGACTTCTCCTCCCTGTTATCTGTGGTGAATCCATGATTTCTGCCATTTCAGGTTGGATTCAGCAGGAGCCTCTGTAGCATGCGACCGGTCAGCATTGCGGTCAGGCTCCGCCTCCCATAAACTGTTTTATAGCAAACATTTTGTGAAATTAATCTATATGACAACATTCTCAGTGTAAATACAGTCTCATTTAAGTCACATCCATTAATTTGCAGTATTTGAGTGTTTACAAGTAAGGTTTGTAAATTAGGTATCACTCATGGTTAAAACTGGAACACATACAAAGTTATTCAATAGATAGTGAGTTGACAACTAACTTGCAAAATAGAGGCAATAACATTGCTCAACAATTCAGTTTTAGAGTTGCCGAATGTCTCCCCCATTGTCACATTGTCTTTCTGTACTCTACATCAAAGAGACATACAAAATCAAGCATGCAGACTCCACAGTGGCGGAACTACAGCCGGTGCAACAGCTCCAGGGCCCACAAGCTTTGGGGGCTCTGTTAGCCAATGCACTTAGGGCAAACCTGACAGGCAGGCTTGTCTGACCAGGGGCCTGGTCAGGTGCTGCAGCCTCCTAGCAACGCAACAGGGTCCCTTTAATGTCAGCATTTCCTGTCACTTCCTCCCAGCTTAAAGACCATGCAGAGGCTGGGAGGATGGAGGAGGCACAGAGAGGGGAGGATGGAGAGAACTGCAAACAGCCTCAGACTTCCATCATCCTCAGCAAGCCCAGGATTTGGAAGCCACCCTCCTGCATCCAAAAAGGTATGGAGCAGGGGTGGCCAGAAATATGGAAATTGCAACTTGTGTATCTCTGTATGCCAGAATGTGTATATGTGTGCATGGGTGTGTGTATGTGTGCCAGCGTGTGTGTATCTGTATTTCAAATCCTACTCCACCCTGTACAAACACACTACACACAAGTATACCACTGCTTTCAAGTGGCAACAATACATACAAACACAGAACTGCATTCAAATACTAACACTACATACGAATAGACCACTATATTCACGCATACACTCCATACAACAAGGTTACATTCAAACACAAAAACTGCCCACAAATGAAACACTGGTCAAATTATAGATTCCCAGCTGTGAGACATGTACATCAGATGTCAATCTACCCTTTGGCCACCCTTGCGCAAGTGGCCCAACAAAAATTTCTCTGTGTACTGTATTGGATATGTTTTTCCAGCACAACCTACAGATGCTCAGTCAGTTTGAGATCAAGCGAATTTGGCGGCCAAGGCACTCTTGAACGCTTTGTCATGTTCTTCAAACATTCCTAAATATTTTTTGCAGTGTGGCAGAGTGCATTATCCTGCTGAAAGGCCACTGCTATCAGGAAACACTATTGCTATTAAGTGGTGTACGTGGTCTGCAACAATTTCTAGGTACATGTCAAAGTAACAACCACAAGAATGCCAGGACTTAAGGTTTACCAGAGCATAACACTGCCTCTGACTGACTGCCTTCTTTCCACAGTGCATCCTGCTGCCATCTTTTCCGCTGGTAAATGACGCACACAAACTCATCCATCCACCGGATCTAAAATAAATGCAATTGTCCCTTATTCTAACAATATGCTTTCTCTTTTGGTTCACAAGAGTCCCTTGAGGCTTGAGGCTTGAGGCTTCTGGCTGCCATATTTATGGCTCCAATTTTATCTCCATCTACTAGAGGCTCGGCTCCGTTACATAGGCTTCGTTTTGATGCCAATATTTACTCTTTTATTCCCCAATTAGTCCACCTAGCTGGACATATGTTTATTTTTAATAGTTATAACTGTGTGCACTGGCCTTTTTTTTTTTTTTTTTTCAGCTTTACCCGCGGCGCTATCTTGGATTTAAAAGATCTCCTCCTATAATGTTCTGCAACATTAAATCCTTATTAAAACTGCTAGTTTTACATTATAAATATCCATATTTATTCTGCTGTGTGCAGTGTTTATAAAAAGTTTATAAAAGTTTTTCAGTCTTTTTTATTGTTATGCTAATTAACTTCCGGTCATGTGACAATGACGTCATATGAACTTTAATTTTAAACTTCTAAAGCCCTTTTTTTTTCACATTCCATTTTTTCTTACGGTGTGCACTATTGTGGTTTTTATTCTCTTTTATATAAATATCCAGAGAAACACCACCAATCACCTAGATCCTTGAGTGGGGATTAAACCACTTCATGCAATACTTTGGGAGCCACTGTCTAGGCTCCATATATGTAAGTGCGCATTTTTGTTTCTATTTATTACAGCTATCTGGTCTGGCATATCGTACTATATTTTTTTTCCCCACATATCCACAAGAAAATTATATACTACCAAGACCACGTGCAGAGCCTGCACCACATCATATGCCGAGGCGGGGATCATTCCGCTCAAGCGGAATGTATTACTTTTATCTTTTTATTTCAATACATTTGACATACTACACCATCATTTTTTCCGCTATATACATATACTCAAGAATATCACAGGCGCTACACCTTTTGCTGGTTTTTCCCATCATCTACCAAACGAGAGACTCTGGATCCGGTGATCGAGCTACCTTTTGAACTGTTACAGTTTTTAACCTGTACAAGCACTGAATTTCCCCCTACTTTTATGATCTAAAAGAAATCCTGATTCATTAGATCAAGAAACCTTCTTCAATTGTGCCTGAAGGCGCTTTCAGCACTGGACAGGGCTTATCAAGGGCACTCTGACAGGTCTGCAGCTACGCAGCTCCATACAGTAAACTGATGCACTATGTGTTCTGACACCATTCTATCATGACCACCAATATATCCAATCTCTTAGTAGGTGCCATTGTAGCACTATAATCAATGTTCATTTCACCTGTCAGTGGTTTTAAGTGTGTGAACTGTGTATATATGGCAGTGATTTATGGAGCACTAGTTTGTAACAACCCATCACATGCCATATTATTTCTACAAACATAATTATTTATCCACATTCACAACTACCCCACCCGCTTACATCCCCATCCCCGTGCTAAATATATCCAACTGATTTATATACCCATATCAACAGGGCCGGACTGGCCCACCGGGATACCGGGAAATTTTCTGGTGGGCCGCGGCACCTGGAGCTGGGCTGACAGCCCTGTTCATCACTGGTTAGGGTCCTGTAATCCCGGCTGGCCATGTGCGAGCTGTGCAGTCGTACAGGGCCCCATGGCGGCCGACACAGCTCGCACATGGCTGGCCGGGATTAAAAAATATATATATATTGTGGTGGGGGTGGAGCTTAGTGTGTGGCATGGGCGGGGCGTACCGGACAATGGGCGGAGCTTAGCTGCAGCGGGGGCGAGGCTTAGCATATGACCGGGCAGAGCTTACTGTGCGGCGGGGGCCCTGGTAACTGCAGCATGGAAGCAGGAAGGAGTCCCTGCTTCCCCAACAACCAGTCTCCAGGAGCACCAAGGTATGTGGAGGTAAGAAGCAGGTCAGTGTGTTTGTGCATGACTGTCTGCCTGTGTGTGTGGCTGTCTGCCTGCCTGTGTGTGTGTGTGACTGTCTGCCTGCCTGTGTGTGTGTGTGTGACTGCCTGTCTGTGTGTGTGTGACTGTCTGCCTGTGTGTGTGTGTGTGTGTGTGACTGTCTGCCTGTGTGTGTGTGTACAGGCTGTCTGCCTGTTGTGTGTGTGTGACTGTCTGCCTGTGTGTGTGTGTGACTGTCTGCCTGTGTGTGTGTGTGTGACTGTCTGCCTACCTGTGTATGTGACTGTCTGCCTGCCTGTGTGTGTGTGGCTGTCTTCCTGTCTGTGTGTGTGTACCTGTCTGCCTGTGTGTGTGTGTACCTATCTGCCTGTGTGTGTGTACCTGTCTGCCTGTGTGTGTACCTGTCTGCCTTTATGTCTGACTGTCTGCCTGTGTGTGTGCGCGTGTGTGACTGCCTGCCTGTGTGCGGTGAGCTGTCTGTGTGTGGCTATCTTCCTGTGTGTGTGTGTGACCATCTGCTGTGTGTGGGTGTCCCTTGCCTGCTGTGTGATTTGTCTGCTGTGTGTGTGTGGGCTGCCTGTGTGTGTGTGTGACCTGTCTGCCTGTGTGTGTGACTGTCTGCCTGTGTGTGTGTGACTGTCTGCCTGTGTGTGTGTGTGTGACTATCTGCCTCTGTGTGTGTGAATGCCTGCCTGTGTGTGTGTGAGACTGTCTGCCTGTGTGTGTGACTGTCTGTGTGTGGCTGTCTTCCTGTCTCTGTGTGTGTGGCTGTCTTCCTGTCTCTGTATGTGTGGATGTCTTTGTGTGTGTGCATCTGCTAGTGAGTGAGTGAGCTTCTGTGTGTGTGTGCGCCTGCTAGTGAGTTTGTGTTTGTGTGTGTGCCTGCTAGTGAGTGAGCTTGTATGTGTGTTAGTGAGCTTGTCTGTAGGGAGCATGGGTGTGTCTGAGCCTGTCTGTGGTGAGCATGTGTGTGCAGTGAGCTTGTCTGTGGTAAGCATGTGTGTTATCGTGAGCTTGTCTGTAGTGACCATATGTGTGTCTGTGAGCTTGTCTGTAGTGAGCATGTGTGTGTCAGTGAGCTTGTCTGTAGTGAATCTGTGTGTTAGTGAGCACTTCTGTAGGGAGCATGTGTGTGTCAATGGGCTTGTCTGTAAGGAGAGTGTGTGCGCATCAGTGAGCTTGTCTGTAATTAGCGTGTGTGTGTATCAGAGTTTGTCTTTACTAAATTTGTGTGTGTACCAGTGACTTTGTCTGTGTGTGTCATTGAGATTGTCTACATAGCACAATGACTTATGGGGCTGGCATAGATTTTTTCCAGGGCTGCTTCGTATACCCAGTCCAGCCCTGCAGATCAACCCATGCCCCTAAACTTAAAGGGACACTATAGTCACCAGAACAACTACAGTTTAATGTAGTTGTTCTGGTGAGTATAATAGCTCCCTTTGGAATTTTTGTGTAAACAGAGAAAAGGCAGTGTTTACATTGCCCCTAGGGACACTTCCAAGTGGCCACTCCTTAGATGGCCACTGGAGGGGTTCCTGGCTCAGTGCTGCACAATAGGCAGCCCTGCTTCAGCGTCCCCACGGTCTGCATGGAGACGCTGAATTTTGAGTTGAGGAGTTCCTGATGGCATTTGGCCCCGCCCCGTGCTGATTTTAGCCAAAATAAATCGTCCATTCTGATGATGTCACAAAGAGGGTGAAGCCAGCACTGACAGACCCGTGCGGCCCTGGAAATAAGGTGAGTTTTAAACTTTTATAGGGAGACTAAGGGGGGGAAAGCCACCTAAATGGTGGGTTTAGCACAATAGGGTCAGGAATACATGTTTGTGTTCCTGATCCTATAGTGATCCTTTAAAAGGCATAGCTGAAATAAAATATCTGGGAGCTGCCTCTGTTTGCCTGCAGATAGACAGAAAGGTAGCGGTGTAATTAGTGTTGCATTATCAAGTTTTAATGTATATATATGATTATAAATTTCAAACTAACAATATTAGTTTTTGACATTTGGAGTGTTCTTTTACCCCTGTAAATGTAAATCAGCTCCCCAAACCCAAATATGAACTTTGCTTACCTTTTTATCCAGTCCCTCATCACTGCGGCATTTTCAGAATATATTAAGCACAGGCACAAGTGCTGCAGCAACTCTAAATATATGAGCAGCCCGGCACACTTGGAACATGTATTTCTCATCAATGGTGATGCTATTGAGACCAAAATTTATTTTTAAAAATGCAGATTAAGGAATAAAGCACACACAAACATACAGTTTGAGTTGTATAATGCCACTTTACCCCTTAACGCCGTTACGGCGTTCTATGCCGTCACCATTTAAATGTGCTTTAAAGCCGTTGCGTCGGCATAGAACGCCGTAACTGCTTAAGCCCCCAGAAGCTCGGCGGTACTCACCTCCGCCACGATCCTTTTCGGGAGGACTGCCTGACAGCCCAGGCAGCCCACCCCGGCAAATGAGGCCCCCGGGGGCCATGTGATC